CGCATTTTGAGAATATAAATGACAATCTCAAAAAATTATACTTCCTAGTTCTTGTTGTAAATGTTGTTATCCCCTTAAAAAACCAAAAGAATTTTAAAATTCTCCGATGAGGGATAGAGACAAATCCTCTAATCTAGCGCCTTATGAGAGTTAAAGCATCGCATAAGTTAAACAAACTGACAGTTGGCAGACACAAGAGTAGTTTAGCTCTGAGAGAACATATTCATTTCATCCTTAAATCCTCAACTATTTCGATGATTTATTGAATTTTTAAGACAAGCCATTTCTTCATGCTACAGCCACACTCTCTTGAAATGTTGACGTACGTATGTGGAATAAGCATCAGATAAAAATTACAGATAGAGAGAATAAAAGTTTCTTTCATGTTTCAATATTGATCATATCAGAAATATGTGTGAATCCAATTTAACATTGAAATTGATTCAATTTATCAATCTCACAAATCTCAGTACTGCTGAATTGTATCATTTTCAATATAACGAAATGATTTATTTTCGTTACATTGTCGCAATTTATTTTCCTCAGCTGCAAAAGTACTTGAAAAAGTTTTTTTTTCTAGATTTTTGCTGAATTTTTTTTACTGGGGTGGGGGGGCTTTTTAAAAGTTGCATGGGCGGGGGATTTTATAGATTTAACAACTGGCTTGTAATTTAAATCGTGTTAGGTTATTATTGTCAACTCTACGGTGGATTTTGGGGGTGTGCTCAAGGTGGTAGCAATATATTGATCTAAAGCACATATGACGCTTCCTATCAAAGCTTTATTAGTGAATTTACACTGTAAATTCTTAAAATAATCACATAAACCCACCCTACATCAGCTCCAACCAATTTATATCAATTTAGAGCCAGTCAAAAAGTTTAAATCATCCCACGACAGTTTCCAACCCCCACAATATCAACTGTGTATGACTGTGAAAATTCTTAAACGCATTTTTCATGATTATAAGGCCGTTGAAAAAGTTTTTAATAACAAACACGAAAAAGAAAACTTTTCATGTCTCATCACAGCAAATTTCGTTTGTTGTATATACATTTCGGAAGATAAAATTCTTCTTTCCGGAACGAAAGAAGAAGTCAAGGAAGAAAAAAAAGTTTAAAAGCGGAAATTCCCACAGCTGGTACTACTGCAATGAGGCACACAATCAAAACTCATCAAGAATTCATTTCAAATTCATTATCAATTATCGCGGTTTTCCTACTTCTTTTCCTCCTTTCATTTACCACCCGCCCACACCTAACATCTCAAACTTTTCGAAAAATGATGAAATGAAACTCAAAGGAGATGGAAAATTTATGCAAATTTATATAGCGACACTGAAAATGTTTTATTCAAATGAATCACGTTCTTGACTTATGAATTGAAATATACTGAAATAGCAAATTTATTCGCAGTTATTTGAATGAGAGAAAATAAATTTTTTTTAACCTCAACAAAAAGTTTGTTTCAAGCTCATAATGCTTGTGATTAAAATTCATTTATGAGGTGCTTTAGGATTTAGTGTATTAAAGGCGCATATGTCTGATAATTTTTGATGAGATTTTGAAATATGAACTTTGGAAAGATGTTGCATAATACTCATAATCACAACATTCTGGGATCGAACCCACCTCATCACAAAAGAGACAGGTTTCAGCATTCTGATCTGGTAAGCAAACTGCTACTTAAGCTACACGTAAGCAGTAAATTGGTAAATTCACATTAAATACTACAGTTCCAGTAACAAGCATTGACTCTCAATTTTTTTTTCCATCCAGAACAATGGGAAAAAATTTATCCAGATGAAATAAGCATCTTGGAGCCAAATTCCTAGCAGTACCCTAATCATAACCGAATTAGGTTAAAGCACAAAGATTGAGAGGCATAGAAGTTATACTTGGTACTAATGTGTTGTTAGACTCAAAGTTAAGAAAGTTGTTTTTTGTAGGTCAAATCAAGCATTTGGCTAATCAAGAGGTTTGAGTTCTAATCCCTGAACTAAAAAATCTGTAGTTTGGTAGCTAACAATTAAGCCACTAAGCCACTTTAAAGAATGAATTACCAGTCTTGCGTAGAATCTCCAAGACAAGGATAACATGACACAATGATGCCGATATGATAATTTAAAAATAACACTAATTGGCAGCATAAATCCCTTGAATCTCAATTGCACATCCTCAACCTCAAAGTCTCATACCAAACATCAGCAACATTTTCTCACAAAAACGGCTGTTAAAATTTTTAATATCTTAATTTTCTACCCATTAAAAAAGTTTATAAATTATTCTGTGTTGAAAATGAGATGAGAAAATGATGGAATGAAAAAAAAGTGTCGTAATTAAGTGCTCGTTGTTCGCATTTTTAATTACAAATTCAATGATGATTCTCTCGATTCATTCATAACTTTTTATCTTCGTCGCCTTGTGCAAATTAATTTTAATTCAACCCCTTAATGAAATAAAATTTACACTTTGATGATGTCTTGTGATATCAATTATTCCATAGCAATATGACAATGCAGAACCTAGTTTAATCTAGTTTGATAATGCAAATTGAACATGAATTTATGATGAAAAATAAATATGAGATGAAAAATAAATTCAAAGAGATTGTTATCATACATTTTAAAAATAAATACTGTCCCACATGACAAAATGTATTTTCATTCATATTTGTATAAGAAAGGCACATACGTACATATGCATATAAAAGGTAAAATGCTGGTTCAGTCTATTTACTCAGACGAAATAATAATTGGCCTGAATAATTTTTTTCTTTATATTCATACGATGAGAAATTTTCAATGGAAATTAAGAAAAGTTATTTGATGCATGAATATCGGGATAATTGGAAATTTGTGCATTCGAAACATTTTACTAACAAGATTTTTTGAAGCATATGAGAGGTTTTTTTAAGGTTAATGGTGCATGAAATATTTTTTTGCAAGTCTTTTAAATAAATTTTTGAACACTAACTGAGAAGTTTTAGATAAAGTTGAAGATGTGATGAATAACTAGCAAATATTAAGTTAAAAACAAGGCGTGGAAACTATCCCAAATATCATATTTATCTCACATGTCCCAAAAATATTCAAAAAAATTCCTGAGCATGTATGCACAATAATAAAGATATCCCAACGCAGGGGCGTAGCCAGAAAATTTTTAAGGGGGGGGGGGCATTTTCGAAAATTAAAAAACCGTTATTTTGTATCCTTAAATCTATATTCATTCTTCATAAGTTTAAATATTTAATTCATTATTCATAATGAATTCCCCTATGGCCCCCCTGGCTACGCCCCTGTCCCAACGTATCCTTAGTGTATTGGACGTTTAATTTCAGGATATAATGGAATATCTCAATTCTAATGCATACAGGCTTAGGGATTATTTTGAATATTTTTGGGATATTTGGGATAGTTTCGACGCCTTGGTTAAAAATATTTTAAATGATAGAATGCAAGTTTTTATGAGTTCAAAGTTTGTTTATACTGGCATCATATCCAAATAGATCATCCCTATGCAGTAGAATAGAGAGTTTAGAGTTATAAAAACCCAAAAAAGTAGAATTAGAAAAGGTCAGTTTTCATTGTAAGCCTTATTAATATTCTCTAGAATGGTGGACCCTAGGCCTAAGAATTTAATATATAAACTCAAGGACGACATAAAACCTAAAATGGAAGCTGCTCCATACCTACAAAATCTGGAGACTGAAACCAGTTTCTAAGGCTTTTTCAAACAACTTTGTAAACAAAGTTGGACTACATTTAGGTTAAAGTGCCCTTTAGTAGACCTGTTTTAATCTTAAGCATTGCAAAAGTTTTGTGCCAAATTTTAATACTTCAATATCGTTAATTGACGAGTCCTCTGAAAAGAGATGTCTAAATTTAAGTTTTTATGATAATCCTCAATTTTTAAGTTATACAATCCACTGATATTTTAACCTCTTCAATTAAAAGCTTTCTCAAACAAAAAATCATTCCCATTTTTTAAAAAGAGAAATGTCATAACTCAAATTAGCAGAAAGCATACCATCGAGACAGTAAATAATTCACTTCAATTCCGCTGCATTTTCATTTGCATTACATTCACTTAAATGGAAATAATTCACTATTGAAATATATTTGAGAGCATTAACATAGAAATTATAACAATGAAAAAGAAAAATTAAAATGCAACTAAAAGAAGAAAAAAACAAAAATTTCCACTTGAATGACATGAAAGATTCCTTTTTGCTCCTTTCCATTTCAATACTCTCGTGTCGGGATGAATTTTTCAATTTTTATGCAGTTATTTTTTTGCTTCAAATGAATGATGTCATTATTAATTTCTTTAGAAGTATTGCAGCATATTCCATAAGCTGTTTGAATAGCTTTTTTTAAAATGACATGGATTGGATATTTTTTTGGATAAGCTCCAAAAATCTATAAAGATCAAGATGGGCGATGTTGAATTTTCTCTCCGTTTTAACACGTTTTAATGGCACGGGTAGATTGAAATGATATGTTGGGAGCCATACAAGCAACTTGACTTCGAAAGAATCAATGTACATCATTTTAGGGAATTTTTGAATTTGCAAAATATTAGATTAACTGGACTAGAAACAAAGTCAGCCATAATGTAATATGAATATCATCTAGATGTAGCCAAAGCTCTATATGGGTTTATGGTTGTGGAGACTAACCAGATAGTCTTTATTTAAGCAACCTAAAATGGTTTATTGATGTCAGCTTTGTGCCCTAATCTAGTACAAGACCAAATTGCCTATTCCATCCTCTCATCAGTTCTACCATTTAGAAAAAACAGGTCCTCGAATAACTTCTAATTAACACATCTGAGTTTGTCAAGATTTTGTTTTTTCCGACAGCATTTTCCTACAATTCAATAAAAAATAGCGCTTTAAAGTTCACAGAAACTCATAAATTTCAATATCTTACTTCCACCAGTTTAAATCTACCTCAATTCCTCATTTTTCCCATGAAGCTTTAACATACAAGCAGACACATGTTGGCTGATGAAATCTACCGAAAAATTCATCATGTCAAGAAAGTGAGTGAAGAAAGGAGAGAAAGAAGAAAAATAAAATCTTGATGCACAACAGCAGTCGGTCATTTGCATCTAAAATTTGATTTCACACCCTTCCCCCCCCCCAAAAAAAAAAATAAAAAAATAAAACCCAAAATACAAAACCGTAATCTCGATGCTTTTTCTCTCAAAGTCTCATGCATAATCAAATAACAAAACCACAACTGTATACATACAAAATAGTTTGTATATGTACATATATTTCTACTAGCTGCAGGATAATGGCTACAAATGCATTCATGAATTTCAACTTTAAAACATTCTTTTTTTTAGAATAAAAAAATATAAACTTTATTGCATCATATCTCAATATGTTAAAATTAAATATGCTTTTGAGCTGTGTTGTAGTCTGGGAGTTTGGTTGAGGCTGATAAAATTTTGAAGCCTTTTAATAAGTCTTATGATTTTGCATGGCAATTCAGTTAATTGACTTTTCTATTTGATTTTGATCTCGTTTGTCTTTACTTTTCTGAGTCGATATTCGGTTAAGTGCTGTCAAGCTACGATAACTTTGTAGGAGACTGAAAGTTGTCATATTCTAACACTTTATAAGCTTTAAATCAATTTAAATTTAAAAATTAATAATATTCAAAAAAACTAAACCTGAACTAGAACAAAAGTAATCCTAAAATGAAATCTTAAATCATATTTTATATTTTATAACGGATCTGTCTACTAATGTGAAACTAACGACGATTAAATTAATATGTTGTAATAAGTTTATTAATCATGGTTAAATAAGTGAGTGTATATTCAAAAATTTTTTTCATTTATATAAGCGCTTAGTTAAGGGAGCTCTCCTCCCTCTTATATATAAAAAAAAAATTAAAAAAAATCCCTTCCTTAAAATAGTTTTTTGACTACGCTCCTGTATATCCTCATTTTATTTAATGATGATTAATCTTAAAATATCAATCACGCGAAAAATGAAATATTACATTTGTTTTTAAAGTTTCATAATTTCAGTAATAATTATTTAATCGGCCTAGAAACATCGCTTAAATAAAAGCAGGCAGAAATGTAAGTATTCTTCGATATTTCCGATCGTTTGAGGTTTTTGATCAAACTTACTTAAAGATACTTAGAATCTACTAATATTTAATTTCAATTAGAGCATGTACAATCAGGACTATTACACTTTGCGTAATCAATGTCTCTTGTCGGGAAAATTGTTTGAAGATGAATTTTTTCCCGCAACTAGTCAGAGTCTTTATAAAAAAGATTCAGAATTTCTACATGGAACAAAAGATCCATATTTCAATGAGTGGTTAAGACCAAAGCAAATTTGTAAGGATCCACAATTTTTCAAAAATGGATTTTCAACAGACGACATAAAACAGGGATACTGCAAAGATTGTTGGTTTCTTGCTGCTATTACTAATTTAACGTCGAATAAAAAAAAATTTTCTGAAGTCGTAAGAGGTGACAATAGTTTCGAGAATAATTATGCTGGAATCTTTCATTTTAAGTATGTATGCTACTATAAATTATTAATTATTAAGTAAAAGAATTAATTTACAGATTTTGGCAGTATGGAGAGTGGATAGATGTTGTTATTGACGATCGCTTGCCAACATTTAAAGCAGCAGATGGAAAAATTAAATTATCATATGCGTCCTCATCAGATCAAGATGAATTCTGGTCAGCTTTATTAGAGAAGGCATTCGCAAAACTTCATGGTAGTTATGAGGCATTAGGAATAAGTGGAACGTACTGTGAAGCAGCAGAAGATATGACTAGTGGTGTCTGTCAAAAATTTTGTTTAAAAGATAAGGAAAACTGCCTTAAATTTCATAAATGCTGTACATACAATTCTATCAATTTCTGCCAGCTTGAGAACTTTTTTAACATGGGAAACTTTATGAGTTGCTTCATTAGATTGCCACAAGAAGCACAAAAAGCACAAAAAGCACAAGAACGCAAAACAAAGGAAAATTTAGTTATGGGGCACTCATTTGCAATAACAAAGATCGCTCGAACAACAAATGGTGATCAACTAATTCAATTGAAAAATCCATGGGTAAGTTAAGAGGTCATTCACAATACATGTCGTACTTTTCTACATAATATAAAAAGTTCAGTGTATAATATTTAATGAAATTTTAACTCTTAATCTCATAAAGGGTCGTTACGAATGGAATGGTGCATGGAGTGATGATTCAGAAACATGGAAAAATACTTCAGAAGCCCTGAAGACAGGACTAGGTTACAAAAACGCTAATGATGGATATTTCTTCATTTCATATGAAGACTTTCATAAGTACTTCGATGTAATTGAAATTTGTTTCTTAAAGTTCCCATATTCGTTACTTAAAGTGGAGAGCCAAATGAAATGTTTCGTATCAATTGCTCGAAAAGATCCAAGATTGTTTCCAATTGATAAAGAAACGACAAATCATTTACTTACTTTTAAATTGAACATAGCTGAGACAATTTGCTTTGAAGATTTCAAAAAAATGATAAATTTTGCTGCTTACCATGGTGAACCAATCATGAAGAAGCAGAACTGTCAAGCTAAGTTTTGTCAACGTTGTCCAAGATTTTATGATCAATGGAATGGTTCTCAAATGGATATTTATCGAATAATTTCACGAGAGGAGGAATTCTACATTCGAATTTACTTTTGTTGTGTTTCTCATAATGACTTAATTATTCTAAAATGTATTGCTGTTCATATCAGAATCATAGGCAATTGTGTTGAATTGTATAAATCAAAATGTACTAAAATTGAGGTTGATTCATATATGACAAGATTAATTAATATAAGAGACAAAGAATTAAATTAAAATTTAAATATCAAAATAAAGTAAAACTAAGTGCGAAAAAACAAAATTAAAAAGTTTCATGAATGTCTTGATTTCAGATTGAATTCTATAACAAAAGTCTACTTTAACTTCTTCACAGCCTTACAGAAGTCAAGTTTCATTATGAAAGAATCCACAAAGCTTGAAATTAAAGCTACAAAATCAATCATCTGCTTCTTTTCAATTTCACCATACCTACATATTCGAGGAATCTCGTGTATATGCTTTTATTTGAATTTCCATGCTCGAAAATGTGGAAGGAGAAACCTATCAGAAAATTGATACTGACATAGAGATAGATATTAACATAAACGGATGCTCGCAATTTTCATTTCTATTGTTCCTAATATAAAATCATTTCTTTTTGCGTAAGTACAAAATGATTTTTTTCATTCGAAAACAGAACCAGAAGATTTTTTTTTTTTCAATGAGAAATCGGAACAGAGAAGAAGTACAGTCAATTTAGAATAAAAAAAAACTTTTTTCGCGTTCTGTTTCCTCTTCGTTGAAAATTAACAAAGAAAAATGAGATGGAGCAAATTTTTTTCGTTCCTTTATTTTCATTTTTTTCCGTCTCAACTTCATATTGAGAAAGCAAATGAGGCAACGACTTGAGGGCAAAATCTCGAGTGAAATATATGCAGAATAAGATTCGGCAATTTACATTGCTTTTTCTGCCTCTTTTTCACTCACTTCATGATACTTCTTTCCCTACAATATAGACAGTTTTTTGAGCGGAAATTTATGGTGAATAATTTTGTTTGTTTTTATTTTGACTGTCTTAGTTGAGTTTATAGTATGTGAATCATATGCTCGTGTGAAGATTAGTCAATTTATTATATTTAAATTTCATTTATTTGTATACATTTTACGTTTTGCTGTTTTAAAATCGTAAAAATACTAATTTCGATATTTAACGCTAGATTTAAGTTTACATGACATGACTAATTATTTTCAATTCCAAAACTAGGTTATTGTTTTGTAGTTATACTCTATTAAACTAAAGTTGGCACTTTTAAGAGCAAATGACTTTAATTTTGTATTGATTCAGTTCAACTCAGCAATCTTAAGCTCAATTCAGCATTAGAAAACGTAAGTAATCGGTATTAACCTCAATTCAGCAGTATTAAGCTCAATTCAGCAATACTAAGCACAATTAACCAATACTAAGCTTGATTCAGAAGGATTAAGCTAAATTCAGCACTATTAAGCTCAATTCAAAATTTATAAGCCCTATATACAGTTCTAATCAGCATTCCTAATTTATATTCAGTGGTTTTAACATCAATTTGGCACTTTTTGGTCCAATTCTTTATAAGACCTTCAAGTACTAAACAGCAAAAGCGCTCTATCTATCATAATACCTAATATGCTTCAATAATCGCGCTCCTCCATCAACCCCTACCACAATCGCTCAAAGTTGTGTTCCTTACAAGAAATTACCTAATTTAAAACTGCTACTCATAAAATAAAATAAAATAAAATAAGAAAAAGTCTCGAGACATACCACAAAGTTATGCCGTTTGCGTGCAAATTTTATTTACTGTTCATTGTTATAGCAAACGAACGCAAGAGAAAGCAAAAAAAAAGTCTCATAAAAAGCAATGATTTCAGATGCTACAAACAATTTTCTGCCTTTTTTCTTCTTTTTCTATTCAAGTTGAATCAAAATTTTACATCATTAAAACTTTTCTGATCAAGTGTGAGGAAGGCAAGAAAGTTCGGAAGAAGTAGAAAAAAGTCTTTTTTTTTACAGAGATAGAAATTACTTAATTATGATGATAACAAGCCAAAAAGGCTCAAGAGGGCAATAAAATTTAATTTAACGAGTCATTGAGCAATTAATATTTTTTTTTTTTGGTCGGAATGCATTACTTGTTAATTGTGTGGGTCATTTGACTCACAGAATGAAATTTATTATAAACTGAGTAATCGTCAGGAGTGAGAAAGGGTAGTAACTACTGTGAGAATTCTAAATAGGAAGTTAGTAATCTGTAATGAATACTATTTGAGGATGTCTTATACAGATTAATCTGATGACGTGGTAGTAGAGATTTTAAAACTTGATTTTTGTATTTGAGTGATGAAAATTGACACATAACATTAACCGCAGTTTTACAAACGATAGAAATGCAATACTATAAAACTATGAATCCACATCAATCAAAATTCCAATTTACATGATTAATATATGACTTAATTTGGAGGATTCAGGCATATTATATTTGAAAAAATTGTCATTTACATGGCATCTACAATAGAAGATATACATATGGATAAATCAAATGACAAAACGGCATCGAGCTCTAATATTGCTTCTTATCACTTTAGTCAATTTAGGCTAACAAAAATTTCCTCAAATTTAACGCATAATAGCATCAAATTAAAAATCATAAATGCTACTTATCTATGACTTTAAAACTTACAATTGAGTCAAAAAAGTGTTTAAAACACAATAAAATGTAATTTTTATTCATAACACTGCAATAAAAAAAAATTTAAAGCGCAATTAAGCTAATAGCAAATAATGACAACCAGTTTTAGATTCATTCAACACTTTCATAAAAAGTTATGAGGTAATATCAAGTTATTTGTATAATAATTTGTTATTATTTCCATTCATTTCTGGTTTGTTGGGTTTCTGTGATTTAAGTTTGAATGTTTGGAGTTACATTTTGGTGATGTTAAGGATTTACATAGGTCAAGCTAGTCGAATAAGTCGATAGTTTGGTCGAGTCAGCAAACTTTTAAACATTAGAAGCCAATATCCCACGATATTCCAACTGAAAAGTCCCATGAATCACAAAAACAGAAGCATAAAACTCATGCGCAGCTGTAAAATTATCAGATCTAATCCCATTTCATCATATCTCAAAAAATGCATTAATAAAATTTCCATCGAATGAATTATTCAACAATTAACTTAAAATTGATGAACTCGATGAGTTGTCGTGTGCCAAATTTATTGATTTTGCATTTAAATATCGCGAGAAACAAGCTCGTGGCAAAGCTGAAATACTTAAAGCATGAATTAAAAATTCATTAGCTTCTTACATCATGATCGACTTTATTGATACTTTAAAGCCAAACGACATTGAGAATTTTAATGTTAAATTATCTACTTTAAATTAAACATGATTACGGGGAATGAATGTATAAAAATATCTTACAAATCTGTTTCAATTCACTTGATTTGCAATTTTGATTTAAATGCTAATTTGGTGCCATGTTTGGATGTTACAAATTTGTATTCTCTTTTATTGAAAATGTTTAATTGACATTCGAATGAAATGGGAACAGATTTTTGTGTGAAAGTAGAGAAAATTTGATATTAACAGCGGATTCAAAAATTTGTGAAAAATTTAACGAATTTTCTAGTTTTGAACTAGCTTTTTAAATAAACAATACTATTTCATTTTATTATTTAAATATTAAGCTTCAGTTTTTTAAATCAGCCAATTTAATCCACTTAAACCAATAACTAGAGCAAAAAGTCATCAGCACAATCACCCGAAAGTATAATTCACTCATAAAAACCCCTTTTTCAATTCTAAAATCGCATTAAAAACTGAACTTTTTTTCTCAGACGCATTTAGTTCTGTTGATGTAACCTTATCAGCATTTCAAATAAGAACAATTTTTATTCAGAATTCAGTGATGAATATTCATTGACTGAGAAGAGAATTTAAAAAAAATTAATCTTCAACTTCTTATCGCATTTTTTCCTAGATTGTTTACAGTAAAAATCATAATAAAAATTAATTTGCTAAGTGAACAATTAGTATGGAATTAAAATAAAGTGATTGGTATTAAGTTGGGTGTTTTTGATGAGCCGTTAAAGAATAATGCCCGAGAATTTGAATTGAATTTTTAAAAGCCGTTAAATTTATTTGGGAATTGTTTGTAAATTCTCGAATTTTATCACATAAAGTTTGAAAGTTTTAAATTTATTTAATTTTAAATCCTCAAATTATAATTAAAATTTGACAAATTTGAAAGTTTTCAAACAATTTCAAGAATCAAAACATAAAACAAAAGAATTTGCATAAAAATCACGAGAGCCCACAGACAAGCTTTATATTCAGTAGTCGACTTTTGTGTTTCAAATCGGTGGAAAGACTTCAAATAATGATGAAAAAAATTTAAAGTGACTAAAATATTAAGGAAACTTAAGATAATTAGTGAATAATCAATTTAAAAATATAATAAACATGAACACAAGAACTTAAAGAACACGAAATGGTTGTGCAAATTCAATAAAGTCGTCAATATTTTAGTGAAATTTAGTAAAAACAAATCAACAATTTTTTTTTCCATCAAACTTCCAGACATGCTCATAAAGTTTTTAAGTGAAAAAACAACATTCATGAAGAGCTGCAGTCAGCTGGTTCGATAAAGAAAAAAAAATTTGATATTTTCTCAAAGTTAAAAATATGTCAAAAGGACAAAGGATTGTTGGTTCAGTGACTTGCTAACGAAATTCATTCAAAAAGTTAATTTTTTAAATTTTTTAAATGCTACAAAATTTATTTTTTAAAGTATAAGAAAAAAAGAGTGTTTTAAAATAAAGTTTTATAAGAAAACTTAATCACAATTCGTTTCTGTCTATCATTGTCGTCTCATTTGTACAAATTAATCGTAATAATATTATAATAGTTGTATACAACATAAGCATAAATAAAAATAAATTAAGTTCATTTTCAATTAAATTGAATGTGGAGGAAAGGAAAAAATGAAATCAAAATGTAGATTGATTGCAATTTGGTTAATGATTTCATTTAATTCATTTATCGAAACTGGTAAGTGATTCATACAAATCGATAGATTGTTTATTTAGTATGTCTGCGTTAACAACAAGTGCAAACATCCAAAAGATTATTTTTTTTCTTTCATGTATAATTGAGGAATAAGTGACACGAATGAAAAAAAAAAGAAATAAAAATGCAAATTGATACGGTCCGCTAATTTGAGCAACACTGAATATGATTCATACTATATACAATGTGTGGTGGTTATTTGGTTCAATTACCTTTAAACTCATAATCCACCAGAAAAACTCTCATTTCCTCCACTTTTGATGGACGTCAGAGTTGTTAACTTGATGAATTTTACTAGCTGTCTATTTTAGATGTTGTTTTGCTAATAGGACGAATAAAAAGATAGATATAGGTCACACTAGCTCCACCTTCCTTCGAATCTGTCTCAGTTCGTATTAATTTATCATCTCCTATTAAGTTTTGTAAACAATAATTTTCGACCTGAGTAAGATTGTACCTTACTATAGGTATTTCACAGATCCCAACCCTGATAGAAATTAAAAAAGAAAATTTCATTTTGATGTGTATTTTTGGTAAATATTCCAAAACTCATCTGATCTCATTTATGCTCATGTTTGAACTTTTTATTTCCTCGACCAACAAAAAAAAAATCTTCTTTTCTATTTCTACGAAATTAAGTGTGAGTGAAGCTAAACATTCGAATGAGGAATGAAAAAGTTAATGAGTCACAATAATACCTGCTTTATGTAATTTCTTGCTAAAAAAACTTTCATGTGTTTTTTTATCAGTATTATCTCGTTCTTTCAACTCCTTCCCTCAAAACAACCCTCATCATAACCAGCATGATTGCCTTTCTTTATTCGCAAATGGAGAAAAAAAATTTGGAGTTTCTTCTTTATACATGTCTCGTCAAGTTCGTTTTCTTTCTTATTTCCTCAACAAAATTTCTGTTTTCTTCTTAATTTAATTAGCGAAATTTTCTATTAAGGCACTGAAGTTTTCAATTCACTTTGACTTGCTAAGTTGGTCTCAATTTAAAAGAAATGAATTAATTTGGATAGATTTTTGTGTTCGAGTGAGCTGGACCATGTCAATAACAAAAGATTGCTTACTTGTGCTACTTAAGACTAAATGAATAATGAAATTAACTTAAGGTTGTTGGCTCAAACTTTTTTAGAAAATCATGACAAAATTTTTTAAATTGAATTTGAGGCTTTTATAAATGTTCTTAAAAAACGGGTGCAAGGCTATTGTTCCAAGTAGCTCACAGTGTGATTTCAACCTTGCGCGTGCAAGTAATAAGTTTCAATTTATTATAACAACAATAGCTATTTCGCATTGTGATTTTTTTTCTTCTCAGAATTGAAGAATGCATTCGATAATATTTAGTTTACTGGATCTCATTTCAAAAGAAGTTTAAACGTTTAATATGTCAAATATGATAGAATGCATCTTGTTTGACTCTAAAATAATATATTCTGATCTTAAATCAAATTGGTTTTTTTCAATTTCAAAGTCACTGTAAACCTTGAAATCAAAATGACTTTGCAATTTACTAATTAAACCTCCAAAATATGATGAATCTTTGAGTTGCTAACTGGATGTTATATTGAAATCATCAAATTCATAATTTATAACAATCAAACCTGTTCCTGTTTGATTAATGATTTGTTAGAGATCAAAGAAGTTTAAAATGTTTCGTTTAGTTGTATGATTTACTTTAATTAATGTTCAAAGAACTTCAGAAAATTAATTAACTTGGAATTTTAAATAAATTTCTAAACAAAAACACGACAGAGTGTGAAACAGTTAAGATTATCTTAAAAAATATATTTCAACACCTTCAGCACTGTCAGTTAATTTAAATTACGAAACACTGTTGAATTAAAACTTTTAATTGCCCAATTTGCAAGCGAAATTCTGAAATCGAAACAAACTTGAATTATGCGTTAAAGCCTCTTAAATTCATACTTCAAAGTGACTTTTTCACAATCATCTTTCTCTATCTCTCTTTTCTTCATTATCTTTCATAATAAAAAGATTTAAAGCGATCCGGTAGTCTTATTATCCATTCATGAAGCCATTAAAATAGAAAATTGTCTACTTACTATTGCTAAATCAAATTATATTGTGTAAACATTTGAGTGCGTTATGCACATGAGAACCGAGATAAGAAAAGAGACAGAAAAAAACGCATTTCAATTCGTTGTCGACGAAGAAAGAAATTCTGTTCTCATTTAAATTTACAGACAGTGAAGAGAAAGAAAAACATACCCCCCACGTATCATATACACAACCGAAATTGTGCATATACATACACTTAGAGAAAGAAGTTATCGAGAGAAAGAGGAAGAAAGGAATGAAAACATCTGATGACAGTGGTGCTATGTGTAGATGAAAAGAACGAATGAACGTTGAATGAGCATGAATTTTATGTCACTTTATGTTTGCCTTGTTCATTTGCAGATTTTAATTTTTTTTTCTACCAATTGAATGTCAATTTTCGGGGGTCGTTCACTTATGAAGTACATCAATTAGGTTAGGATATAGTGTGGATTGTTTGTGTCAAGTAAAGTTTGAATCTTAATAAACATAGCTGCCGTTTAGACAATATATCAGTATTGCCAAAAGAGTTTTATGGGATTTAAGCAAAACCCATTCCAAAAGCTTATAGAAGTTGCTATTAAAAATTGGAAATCTACGGTTCGAGTCTCCCTTTAATTCTAATTATTCAAAATTTAACATAATTCTCTTAACTCAACGGAGATTGCTTTTTGTCTTCGAGTAACTTAAAATCAAACTATTTGATGAATGTCACTAGTGAACAATCCCAAACGAAAACCAGAAAAACAAACTTAAAAAACTAATTTTCAAAAAAAATCTCTCTTATCATTTTAGGATATGTCAAAGAAAATGGTAGGTGTCAAGATCAAATCATAGTATCGCATATACTGTGCACATCAATTTTGTATCCGAACAAAGAATTCTTCAGCAAGGTCATTCTCGTCACGAACAAATTGAAGGTCGTGACTTCAACAAAATATAATTAAAACAGCAATTTGCGGATACAACGAATAAATTTTCATGAAGCTTCAATAACATTAAAAGAGAGAAGTTGGAAATTAATAGCTGAAGTGCATTTTCCATGACATGAATCAGAAATTTTCTGTTTGTTGGTAGCAAAATATTTTGGCAAAAAAAAAATAGTTATTCAGGAAGTTTTGTGTCTGTGTTGTGGTTAAATTCTTGTGAAGTCAGAGGCAAAATAAATTTTTATACAATAAACAATAAGTCTGATGAAATCTATTGAAGTGGTCATGGTCTGGATACAAGTGTCGAGTTAATTTAGTTGAGATTTGATCTTGCTCGAGGAAATTGGATGAAATATTGCAAAATTTAATTTTTGAAAGTTTTGAGCAGTTTTGAGGATATTGTTCTCAGACGATGATGAATATTCGCAATAAAAAATGGTCCTAGATTACTCAATGAAGATCTTTCTTGGAATAAAACAGTTAGGTTAGATCTACGCTAAGATCAACTTTTCGTATGTCAATGGTGCTTAACCTATGCTACGCGCTTCACTACTTGTTGTATCAAAATTCTAAATGTTTAAAATCCACTGTTGAATCAATTAGATTTAAATATTTAAGAATTCATTCTAAACTATGAGTTTAAGGTAGATCGCTTTAAACCCTCCCCGAACCTAAACAAAAAACTTTGCAAAGCAGGTTGACAGAATTGAAAAAAAAATCAAATAACTATGATATGTTTAGTAGCCTTCCAAAAATGTACTTTTAAAGTCATCAATCTCAGTTGCCCAAACTTCAACATCAGCATATACAAATAAACTAAAATTTACATAATCAATAAAACTGTAAGCACACACAGAATCTACTGTACCATAACAACATTTTCAACAACTATCATCAAGCATACCTTTCCGTTCATAACGATTGAACTTGAATTCACTTACATCAGCTGAATGTGTTGCAATAACTTAGGTGCTGGCATTTCAATTAAACAAATATTCTTGAATAAAATCAAAATAATTAGTCATTGTTTTGTGGAAAATGTACTTCAGACTTCTTCCGACATTTGTGAATGACTTTTTGTGCCACTTTTAATTACCTCGCAATTATTTTTGCTGCGGTTACGTAAAAATCTAATTTTGTTTTGATTTTATAACAATTTTTTTTTTCGATTTCGTTTTTCACTTTTTTTTTTCTCGTAGGCAAACGATTGAATGAATACATATCGCATTTTGAGACATTAAATTACGATACAAAACATTTGCATGCTAAGCATAATCGTGCAAAACGTTCCATCGGTGAAGATCAGCATGTTCATTTAAAATTCTCAGCTCATGGTGAAACTTTTCATCTTAGACTTAAACGCGATTTGACTACATTTAGTGATAATTTAGAGGTAGATTGTTTTTGTAAATTCTTTTTTGTGTCCTATTCTTACTTCATTGTGAGATTCTTGTGTGTAAAACATTTCATTAATCTTGATTATATGGATTTATGGATGTACCCATGGAGAGAAGTTTTAATGGTTGAAGATTTGAAGAGTTTTTTTGAATATTTTAAAAATTAAAAAACATTGTCAGGATTAGAAAAAGTTGTCATTTGAACTATATTTAGTCATTAAGTACAACATCTATTGTGTCTAATACATAGTATAAAATTCTTAAGTATTGAACCCAGGTGCATAGCCAAGAGGGTCTTGCTCCCCGCCCTTAAACGTTTTGAACCACAGCGAGAGCACGGCCTAAAATGCTTAAGAGGGGGACAAGACCCACCTAGCTCCGCGCCTGATTGAACCAAATGTGCCTTACATACTTTCTCATTTCCGCACAAAATCTTCACTTTCGATTTTAGCTTCCTTACTTAAATAATAAAAGGTTTATTTACAACTTCCAGTCATGTATTTTCCACTTTACATGAATACATCCATAAATCTTCATCGTCTACTTCAATTGTTCTAATTCTTATCTTCTTTGTCACATGGAAAAAACATCAACAATGTTTTAGATTCATCATACAGAATCAGATGGAAAAGAGAGTATAAGGCTTATAGACACAAGTCACATATATGATGGACATGTACTTGGTGATAAAGACAGTTTCGTTCTTGGTTCCATAAGTGATGGAATATTTCATGGACAGATATTTACATCAAAAGACTCATATTATATTGAGAAAGCTCAATATTATTTTCCAAATCACAGTCACATTGTGGATGGCTTTCATTCAGTCATTTACAAAGATGAGCATGTAAACGATCCATACAGAGATCGACGAACAGTTCATGCAAATGGTTGTGGACTCACAGATGATGTGTCACAATGGATGGATCGAGTACAACATTCACATGATGACGATGATGAGATTGATATAGTACCAATTGAGAATAATGAGAAGGATAAAGTTGATAATAAGACTCACTATTATCAGCATGTAAATAATCGAATTTATGATGATATTGAAAACAACGCCCATCCTCATAAGAAATACTCCAAAGAAGCCAATGCAAGAGTAAAACGTGCAACGTCTCGTTACCAAGAGAAGAATACATGTTCATTATATATTCAAACTGATCCATTAATATGGAGGCATATTCGTGAATCAATACCTGATGTAAGTACCTATAAAATTTCATATAAGCTGAACCTGACTTGAATTATTGCTGTTAAATTGCTGTTTGGGACGTGATTTTGTCAGTATTGCAAATTAATTGGAAATTTGTGGACTTTTCATGGCAGAAAATTTTACTTTGGGGTTGTTTAAGAATGACGTCCATCGTAAATTGAGAATTTTAATACCCATTTTCCGAGCTATAACAAAGTTTAAATATGAAACTGATACACGAAACAGATAAAGATGAAAGATGCACATCATTCACAAACAATCCCTTTAAAATTAAGCGTATATCCAGGATAGCAACCCTTTGTCTGAACACTAATTATCCGTTATGTAGGACAGCAATTTTCTCAATCATAATACAGAACAATCGCTAACAACTAAATTGAAATAAAAGTTTAACAATTTCCCCTTCTTTTCCGTTCATTTCCAGCACAATGATCCAAATCGTGTGAATATAGTCGATGAGAAAACAAAGGAAGAGATTCTATCGCTTGTCGCACATCATGTAGCTGCTGTAAATTTCATATATCGTAATACAAAGTTTGATGGACGAGTTGAGCACAGAAATATACGTTTTGAAGTTCAAAGAATTAAAATTGATGATGATCAAGCATGTAGTCTGTATTATCGCGGTGAACCAAATCAATTTTGTATGGAGAATATTGATGTCTCCAATTTCCTCAATCTTCATTCGCTTGGCAATCATGAACATTTTTGTTTAGCATATGTGTTCACTTATCGGTGAGTATTTGCATATTTAAATGGCTTTTTTTTTTGTGTTGGCTCCGATGTTATCCTAGCTCGTGGATGGAACGAAACGTGATTTCGTTGACGTAATGTGATTATTTATGACAGTTACAAGTGATGCGTATTGAATTGATAATCGACAGTAATGATTGAAAGGGAAATGTGAATGACTTTTTTATGGAATTTAAATTTCAAAAGCTCTTCTTTTGATTAAAATGTCAACCAAATTCGAGCTAGGATTCTTTGTATTGTCGAAAGCATTATGCTAAATACTTGTCATGTCAACAATACTATACGTTATGATTGGAAGCATCCATAGTATGAATTGAGCCTAACTTTAAACAAAATATAGGGTTTTCAGTTCTGGAGCCGGTTTTCTACGGCAACTCTGGGTACTCAAATCAATTTTCATTTATAAACTCAAAATATAGTTCATCGGTTGCTCTCTACTCTAACCTCATTGAGCTTATCTTAAATACTTGACATTTAGCTTCATTGCAATCGATACTTTATTAAACTTTTAACTCATTCCAATGAATCATAAAATATATCCACATTTCTCGTCCTTAAATTACAGAGATTTCACCGGAGGTACTCTCGGTTTGGCGTGGGTTGCTAGTGCATCAGGAGCATCAGGCGGTATTTGTGAGAAATACAAGTCATATACAGAGACAACGAGTCAAGGAATGTATCATAGCACAAAACGTTCTCTCAACACAGGAATAATAACTTTTGTAAATTATAACTCACGTGTTCCTCCTAAAGTCTCACAATTGACACTAGCTCATGAGATTGGACACAATTTTGGATCTCCTCATGATTATCCTGGTAACATACTTAATTTTATTAGACAAATTTTAAGTTTTATTTATTCAATTGCTTATATTTGACAGCCGAATGCCGTCCAGGAGGTCAAGCGGGAAACTACATCATGTTCTCGTCAGCAACAAGCGGTGATCGACCGAATAATAGTAAATTTTCTCAGTGCTCAATCAGAAACATTTCAAATGTACTCGATGCAATCGATGATGCAAAAAAAAGAAATTGCTTTAAAGTCAGTGAAGGGGCATTTTGCGGAAATAAGATTGTTGAAATTGGCGAAGAGTGCGATTGTGGATTTAACGATGAAGAGTGCCGTGACAGATGTTGTTACCCAAGAATCGTATCCGATTACGATTTAAATTTGAATGCATCTGCCAAGGGTTGTAGTCGTCGAGCAAAGACACAGTGCAGTCCAAGTCAAGGACCTTGCTGTGATCCAAATAGTTGTACATTCGTTCCAACCAATAAACATGCCAAGTGTCGTGAGGAGTCGGAATGTTCGTGGAGCTCATGGTGTAATGGAACGTCAAGGTGAGTGTCAATCACATTGACAGATTTAATATTGTTTTAGATTAGATGTTTTACGTATCAAAGTAAATTAAGTTACAGTGGAATCACATGAGGTCAATTAAATCTAGTCTTTGGAAAATGAAAACGTGCACATCGATACTTTTGTTGACATCTTCTGACTAATTTCAATATTATTATTTGTGGAAAATTTCCATCATGAATACCAGTATCGAGTTACGAATATTTAGATAATATTCTTTTAAATTGAGATAGTAATGCCTTCATGTTATGTTGTTCATACTAAGACAAGGAGATTGAGACTTTTGTATCAGATTTCAATTAAGTTTATGTCATGACTTTATTAATTATATTTAAAAGCTTATTTAGAAGTTATGGATGTAAATCTGTAGAAAAGCTACAATTACAAATCCCAATAATTCTTTGAATATGTCCAAAATAAGCAACAGAGATTGCAATCATTTATTAAAGCCAAAATTTCATGTTCATGTCAAGTTTTACAAATTTAATTCAATGAAAATCATCCAATACATCCTTCAGCATCAAAAAGTCAAACAATACCTCATTTATTCAATGAACATACCCCTCCCAAAAAAAATCCCACCCTACAGCTAGACAATATAAAATTGAATTTTATATTAATCACATTTATCTTCTACATTTTTTTACAGTGAATGTCCCGATCCAAAAGCTCGCGAGGATAAGACAAAATGTAATAATGGTACACAATTGTGCATCACGGGAGAATGTACAGGATCAATATGTCTTAGTTGGAATAAAACTGAGTGCTTCCTAACATCATCATCACATACAAAATATGACAAAAGACGTCTCTGTGAGCTTGCATGTCAAGATGGCAATGATCCTTCAACGTGTCGTTCAACGAGTGAATTTGGACATATTTATGGACTGCCAAAGGAGGGTATTAGTTTAAGACCCGGTTCACCGTGCGACAATTTTCAAGGATATTGTGATGTATTTTTAAAGTGCCGAGCTGTCGATGCTGATGGTCCATTAGTCAGACTTAAAAATTTGCTTCTCAACAAAGAGACACTACATACATTGAAGCAATACGTTATAGAGAATTGGATATTTTGTGTTTTCATGGCTATCATATTTTCCATCTTTATGGGCATATTTATTAAATGTTGTGCCGTGCACACGCCAAGTAGTAATCCTAAAAAGCCACCAGCACGTAGAATTAGTGATACTTTAAGGCGACCCATGAATACTTTAAGAAGGATGGTGAGTAGTGGATTTAATAATTATATATTGTAGCGTTATTGTGTGGTTTTCTACATCATGTGGTTAGAAGTTTTTAATGCTTGATGGTTTGACTGAAGCATCGAATATGCTTGTTATCCTTATCAACTTTTCCTTGACCATCTCCGATATTTTTGTATGAAGCTAGTGTTTTTTTCTATGAAAACGGTATTGATTTGAGTAGCACACCATGTCAATGGCAAAATGGTAAAATGGTTCTTCTACGACTTCCAAGTTGCCTATCAAGCCATTTTATAGCCATTGTTTTGATGTACAACTCAGCATATACCCAAAAATGTTCAAAGTGTAGAAAACCACGCAGAAATGAAAATTTCAGATCTGTCAATCAGATAACCCAAGTTTAATTTATTAAACAGACATTTCCAAAAACTATTAACCTCGTGAAAATTCCATAATCAATGACCTAAATGGCAACCTTGACAAGCCTTTTATTAATAACAAATTATTTATTAATTTTTTTCTAGCGACATCCTGCGAACGTTGCACGTTCAATACCACCGCCTGGTCATGGCGAGAGACGAAATAGAAGTCGAAGTGGTGGACAGAACAGACAGCCTGGACAGCAGCGTCAAGCAACAGCGCATCAAGGAGGGTATAATAACAGTGGTCGAGTGCGAGGTCAATGATTATGCTAAATTTCTTGTGAAAATCATAACTGCATTATAATCCTTTTTATGTATTGTTTTGTTCATGAATGCTTTCTATTATTTTATGTACGAAATTATGGTTTTGAAAAAAATTGTTTAACATCTAGCATGTATGTTACTTTAATTTTTGAATTAATGTATTTTATTAATTTTTAATGAGAAGAAAAAATCCTACCTACTTTATTTTTTGGATGAGAATGATTTAATCATAATGCAAAAATTACGGCATAAAACTTTGGCTTCATACTTTCACCATACCATATCATGTATTTTGTTATGTTCACCTATTTCTTTTCTCGCATCTATCATGAAAAACCTTATTTTTCTTTATTTATGATAATATTGAGGTGTGGACAGGGGAGGTTGTTTTGGCGCGAAAATATAATTTTTTGCAAAGTTCTCGAAATAAGCTACAAAGTTGAAATAGTTTAATAACAACCAGATCTATAATATAAATTTAAAATAATTAAAAGCTACAAACTAGCATCACTTTAGACCATTTTTAACGATGTGACCATAAAATCCTTATTATGACATGATCTATACCTGAGATATACTTAGAATATAGACTAGGGTTGACTAGGGTATAGCTAGCATTTGACTAGAGTATTTCTAGAATATTACATAGCCTTTAGGATGAATAATTTCTAAACCAATCAAATTAGACTCCTTAAAAATGTACATTACAACTAGTTTACCCCCTCGGAAACACAAAATAATTGCAAAAGCTTCCAACCAAAGCAACTTTCTCCTGAATCTACTCATTATAAATTTATTATTCACTCACTAACGGAATAAATTTATTATTCTTAATTTATACAGCCGACGCCCCGTTAATTCCAGTACAGGGCTATAGTAGACGTGCGAATGATCCATATGCCGAGGGATATACAGAAAGACAACAACAAAGTTGTGAAATGCAAATACGCTATCCAGCCGCAAGTGCACCACCGCCAAAGGCATGACCGGTATAGGATATTTATCATTTAAATAGAAATTATAATTATTTTATGAATGAATGACAAAGTATAAAATGACTACAAAATAATGTGTATGTGTTTTTTGGGTCCAGTTTAACACAAAGATTTCAATTTTTCTTTCCTTTTTACAACTAAAAACAACGTTCTGTTCCATTCTGACAAACATCTCTGAGTTAATTTAAGTAAGAAGTGTAAATTAAAAATGATATTATGATATGAGATAGTGCAGTGATGATGAATTTTGAATGTTGTAGCTTGATTAATAACAAAAAAGTTTTTTTAATGAGTGTGCAACAAAAAAATTGAAACTAAAGTGAAATGAAAAACTTTTGAGGAATTAATCATATGAATTATAAAATTAATTGGAAAATTAAGTGAAAAACGTGCATGAGAATTGAAATCATATGGTGAGATGTAGTTGACAGTTTTCTTGAATAGTTGATTACGTGCTTTTATCTGTATCTCATAGAGCAGAGGATTTGAATTTAAAATTTAATTTAGTTGAATGGTAATCGAGTTTAGTATGCTCACAATGAATTGGATTGTCGTAGATTGTGAGAATCTGATAAGAAGCATTTCATTTAGATATATGCTCATGAGGATTAGTGACAATTCACTTTTCCTCTGAAGTTAATTATTCACTTCTAAGCTTATACTTCCTTCTATGTGTGTAATTCACATAAAAAATGGTTAAGTGGTATTCAAAGATTTAGGTTGGAAGAAAGAAAGTCACACTTTAAGATCAGAATTCCTTGGTGTATGTACCTAAGAATGGATTTATTCACTTTCAGTATATTGTAAGTAATATCAACCAAATTTGGAGTTTTATAAAATAAAGAGCAAATCTCAAACAACACGGCGTTATCAGATCACTCCAGATTCTTGATCTCTAATAAATATGGAGGTGTACTGTTGAATAGGTTAAGCTGAAAGGGTTTATTTTCTTTGATTCTTAGTCATTTAAGGTTGCAGACTGCACTCTCAATACAAAGAATCAACAAACAACAAGTTACCTTAACGAGTTTCGAACCCATGACCTTAATGTGGATTTAAAAGTTTTTCAATAACAACGTATTAAACGATTACGCCACCGTACCACTTCAACCTTTTAAATTAATTGAGCAAACGTTAATTAAGCTTCAACATTCAAAATTCTTCATGTCACTCAACCGTATCCTTTCATTATTTTAAACAAAATTATTATTAAAATTTAATCTCATACAAAGGTTAAGTAAATGCATAAAATAAGTGAAAATAATGAGAATCAAACTTTTGTTTACCATAACTCGAAAAGAATTACTACGAAAAAGAAAAAGAGTTAAAAATTAATTAAATTAAAATATATTAAAGATAAATAATTAATAAATTAGAATATTCAACAAAGATTTCAATTAGGAGTTAAACAAAAATTTAATTATTTTATACAAAAGATAAAAAAAATAAACGGAAAAACTTTCATCTCTTTGGTTAAGTTTATTCGCGTGGTGATTTTGAGGTTAGGTTGGAATTTGAGGTTAAGATACTTAGGTTCTAGAGCTAATGTGACTTTTTCTTGGTTATAAATCTCAGAATGGTGATACCATTTTAGCTTCTCGAGCTATTCACTATCAAATTAGCTCCAAAAAGTATCTTCAACCTCTAATAGAACCAACGAATTCCACCAAACTTTAATCCACCGTAATTCACACATTTCCTGCATAAATATTGAAGAAATTCTTATTAAATGACAATTAATTCTTTTGTCCTTATTTCACAAGAACCAACAAATCTGTAAGATACCAGAAAATAAATTATTAGACAAGAAACAAGAAATAAAAGAAAATTAAACAAAACAAAAAATAGAATATTTTTATGAAAAAGAAAAAACAGTCTATAAAGGAATGGAACATTAGAAAAAACAAATGGCATCAATACGCTAAATGTGATAAAAAAAAATTGAATGAATTATTGATAAAAAAATTTATTTTTCTAAAACGTAAAAAAATGGAAAAGAAATTCTCTACTGGAAAAATGGATGAAAAAGAAGTAAAATATTGCTCGAGGTGTGGATGTGTTGGCTTGTTGGATTTCAATTTGGGTACTTAATCGTTTTAAAATTATAAGTTCATATTTTAAGAAAAAATTTGGATTGATAAAATTGATTTCAAATTTAATTCTTTGACAATTGAGTTTGGAATTGTTTACAGTTTTGTTTTTAGAGTTCCAACTTTTGTATCACAAAAACTTGATATTGAAGATATCCAAAAAGTGTTGTACATGTTGAGACCCTTGTCAAAAATTACTTTGGAAGTTCAAATCATAAATTCAATACGAATTTTATTAGTTCTATTTGATTTTTATAAAGAATTCAATAAAATCCGAACAACTTTAAATTTTGATTCTAGTAATTTCGAATAAAGGGGTGCAAAACAAGAAACTATGTGTATTAAAAAGGGTCTACAACTTTGCGATCCATTGGAAATTTTTAATTCAATTGAGAATTTTGTGACTGAGGTTGGAGTAGGTTTGAAAATGAATGAAAATATAACGACCACTTTAGCAAATAGATTTTAAGAAGAGCTCCTGGATGAGCTTTAATAAAAGAAAATTAAAATGATTACCGAATAGATTTTAATTCTTAATGTTTATTTGTGTTTCAAAAATTTTAAATCCAAATTTTGTAAAGAATTACTACATTTAATTACCGATAAATGACATAATTCACTAGGATAATCCTTAAAATCTCAAAATACAGTATTAATCAACCAAATGAAGCCCAACAAGATCAGTTCCCACACCTTGACACCTTTTAGAACCACATTATTCATTTATCTTATGGAAAAAGACTTTTATTTTCTTTTTTCATTGTGAAAAAAAAGACATTCTTTAATCTCAAGTGATTCATATTTCATTTTCTCTGCCTTTTTCTTAGTCAGCGTATATATTTTATGCAAAATGCATGTCTCATTTTAGGAAAGAAAGAATATTTTATTCAATTGACTCAATGCTAGGATGGAATAAATGACTTATGAAAATTTTCCATAAATTTCATTTTCTATGAACATAAAATGCTCAATTTCTTCTTGAGTTAAAATTTTCATTTTGGTAAGCTTAAGTAAATTATTTTTTATCATGCGAATGAGGAAGTTTGGAAGTGATTAGTCGTAAAAAAAGTTGGAAAAAGTTCATTTAATTTGGAATTTTTCATTGTCTTGCTCAGATAGATTTTTATTAGATTTTCGAATGATAATTTATATTTTAAGGTAGCTTCTATGGCCTTTTTGTTTTTTTTTATATATAATTTTAGACTTAGATCTAATTTGAGGTTATTGTTCTAAAAATAAGAACTTTTTGAGTTGAATAACTAGAAATATTTTGAAAATGTTTTAATATTAAAATTTAAATAATGAATTCAAATCTACTTAAATTTTAACTCACTTTCAAATTTCCAAATCGTCAAAACTCATTTCTAAAAAGCTTTTTTGAACATTTTTAATAAATATTCTTTTTTCTCAATACATTTTTGAAATGAATTTAGCGAATTAATGAAACATTTTTTTTAACGAATTGATAATACTGTTGCATAATAAGTAAAAAAGAAGAAATTATTGATGATAACATTATTCAAAATGATGATAGGTAATTGTAATTTGTAAAGTGAATGAAGAATTAAGAAAATCGCGATAAATTTATAAACATTTAAGCATTTAAGTTTACTGTTTTTGCCAAATAATTGTGAATTAATTACAAGTGTAAATTAGCGAACTATAAATTTTAAAATGAGTAAAAAAAGAAGAAAAAAAAACAAAGAATTTGTCATTATAATGAAGAACCGATTATTATATAAATAAAAAGTGAATTCCTTCTAAAAAAATAATGTTTTTTGTTCTGTTTTAATAATATTAGAAGCATTAGTTCTATTTTTGAACATTTTGCTGAGCATGCATTTTTTCAGGTCATTCGGTTTAAAAGCTATCTTTTAAAATTTGAAAATACTGCTTAGTCATTGAAGGATATTGGCTATTTAAATGATTGTGCTGTATTATTTGCGTTAGACTTTCGAATTGTGCTGACTTCAAGACAAAATATTTATATTTATAGTATTTTATAAACCAATCTAAACACCAGAATTCAGTCGATGCTAAACTAGGTCCCTTTAACAAGGATATACTGATTCCTGAGCAAAAAAGCTCATTTTTCAAAACAAATCAAAAATATTTGGAATATCTTCATATTTAGAGGTTAAAAAAAACCTTTTTGAAAGTAAAAAGTAACATCTTTAAACGCAAACTTTAATTTTATTACACTCTACATGTCTTTAACATCCCTTTAAATCCAGCAATAAATCGATTGATTCTTTCAACATTGACTACAAAAAACAGCAACGAAGGAACGACCGAAGGTGGAAGGAAAGGTTGAAAGGTTTTTTTCCTCGTGAATAAACCATTGAATATAAATAAATATTTAAAGTCAAACACTTTCGTGTGCCACCTCGCTTCCTCACATTCACTTTCATTCTAAATGAAGCTTTACCTTTTCTACCCTTTTATCGACAATATGCCTTTATGTTCAGCAATAACATCGTTATAAAGAACCTGCAACAAATGTACATGTTACAAAGCTTTGTGCGAAGTTAATTTCGAGAGTTAAAAAGAAAAAGAAAATCGCACACAAAAGGCAAAGAAAAATTGAAAATTTACTGCATTACGAAAATTGAATTTTTACACTGAATTAATTTTTTCTTCTTCTTTTAGTAACTTTTTATTATTTCCTGGATAAAGTCAAGATATTTATCAACACGTGTAAATACTTCTGGTTCATTTATCGTCTCACAGCTCTCTAAACCTTTACTAACCACACCGACAATTTTCTTTTCACCCCGTCGATAAATTATCAATCCTTGTCCACTATCGCCTTGACAGCTCGACGCTCCAATGCCTTTTCCGCATAAGCACATTGATGAATATTCAGTATAGTTATTTAAAAATAGATTTTGGCATTCCCGGAGTGGTATAATCTCATAGTATGCATAATTAGCGAAATTTGCGGTTGGACCGGCTGTTAGGATTAAAAAAAGAATTTATGAGTCTACATCGTCGTGTAGCTTTTAAACAAAACTTTTTTTTACAGTCTCCAAACTTTCCATAGCCCGCAATAATGCCTCGAAACCCAATATATTCACTCTCCGAGTCATAAATTGTCGGCAGCGCAATAATTTCGAATGCTATAAAAAAATAAACATCGTTTTGCATTAATTATAGTATTTCGTATTAATCTATTAATACTCACTATTATTTAGACTGGCTAACGATCGTCTTAATTTCAATAAAGCTATATCGTTGATAATCTCATTATCATAATCAAACTCCGGATGAATAAAAACATTTTTCACACGAACAATATGATCCAAATCATTTGTCACATTTCCTAAAGATATGATTATTCACGTTTAGCAGGTGGACATTATAATCTTCTCAAACATGACGTAAAAATCATATATGATATCACGATATTAGCAGACAAAGAACTCTTATTAAAAGATTTTAAGCTCAATTGTTATTGAATTAAAATTCTGTTTGCAGAGAAATGCTGACTTGTTGTGATCATTATAGACCGGTTTGTGTTTTTGCTAATTTAGAAGTGAACTGAATTAATAATGAAGTTGGAGATCATCGGAATAATTTTAGAAATTCTTCAGAAATATAATTTAAAACTTAAAGACAAGAATGATTTTGGCGCCAAAAATATAGTTTTAAAGTTAAGGTTTTAAAACATTTCAAATTGATCTACAGATCCTACAGAACAAAAATAAGTACACTGAATTGTCTTTGAGGAGCGAGATTGTCTCACTGATATTGCATCTTCTTGAGGATTAAAATAAAATTTCTTTTTCAGAAAAACAAAAGTTCAATAACCAGAAACGTTAAAATGCATATTATTTTAGGAGGAGCTGACTGATTTAAATAAAGATAACTTAAGATATCATTATTAAAAAGATCTGGAGCCGTACTAAGCTAATGTCTGTGATGAGGTTAATATGACTGCAGATCTACGATAAAGAATTAGGTACGAAGTTCTATACAACATTTAAATATTTTTGCATACAAATAAAACATTGGTCAACTTTATTAAAAATTCATCCCGAATTCGAACTTTATATAGAAAAGGTTTTAATATCATGAAATGAAGTTTTCTATTTCTAGTTGTCAGGTTTTAAGCAGCTAGTAAACCACTGCAGTAGAATAATTAAATAATCACAATAGAAATCTTTGATGAAACTAGATTTTTGACTTCGATGAATAATGGCCAACACCCGGTTTCTTTCTTCTTACTAGATCATTACAAATTCAAATTTTATTTGATCTTTTTTAAAAACAACCAATCTTGTTCAAAATTTTACTAATTTTCTTGTTTTAAAAAGATGACTCATTGAAGTTCATAGCTGAATAAGTTAATATTTTCACTTCAGAAGCTTATTCTAATAAATCACAAATTTCGTGTCTGCTAATATTGTAGATATTATCAGATAAATCATTTATTTACCTATAAACACATCAATCACATCAAATCCATAAACACAATGAGCACTTGTGATAATCCAATAATAATCAACGATACTTCCCGAACACGAATACCCTTTAAGCGTTTTACTATTTTCACGAGCAAAAATTTTCACCGTATGTAATTGCATATTTGCTCGATAATCACTATATGTTCTATAGGCATTAACATTGTCATCCGTATTTCCATTAGTTATTTTAAAAATTGCGTAATTTGCGTGAAAAGTATTCAAAATTATTATTAGAAAATTTAGCACTATGATATTATTCATCGTTAATCGTTGATCGCTCAACAATAACTGAGAGTGAGAATTCTCAATTCAGATGTTTTTAAAAGCTCAAGAACCCAAACGCATTGATAACAAACAAGAGAAGATGTATGTGGACATGAATTTTTTCTTTCTTTTTGTTTAAAATACAACGTGTGTTCTCTCTCGCAGAACACACAGCACAAGAAACAAAAATAATACCGCGGCAAAGAGATGAAGATTACCTCAAACTTGACTCAATGATGATGTCACAAGCACGAGCCATAGAACTGTATAGACATCTAAATGTATACGATAATGATGAAAGTTTTATTCAACTCAAACATCAACTTGTTATGATGATGATACTCAACTCATTTCATGTTAATCTGTTAGTTATATCTTCATTTTAAGATGATTCTATGACTTGTTGTTGAATATTCATAGCCTAATTCTCTATAATTTATTTATTTATTGTGCTATACTTCTTTTAATCTGCTTGCAAACATCAAAGGATTTTTTATTTTTTTTTTTTGTGGTCAATAAAGTGCTTGTGGTAGTATTAAGAACTTGGTTCCAACACAAATTCGAGTATAATTAACTTGAAGATCTACAGATTAATCGTTTCGTTGAACTATCCAGTTCTTTAAAAATATATTGTGAGAAATTTTTTCAAATCTTGATTTTTTTTTTCTTTTGAGTTTCTTTTTCATTGGATATAAGTTTTGATTGGATATCCGTTAAATTTGAAAATCATGCTGTTCTAGATATTAAATATTTGGTGCTGTGCCGTTGAAAGTTATAATTTGAACGTACTTTCTTAAGGTTCGTTTGGGAATATTTAAGCTAGGTATATATTCAAGCTTCCGTTCTTTGCTTTTCTTGAACATTGGTTCTCAAACTGAGTACTCGACATATTAGGAGATTAAGTAAGAAATTTTACAGAAAATCTTTTGATTTCAACCAATTTAAAAGATATCATATTCGATTAGACAATCTCAATTAAGATCGAGACCCCCAAACAACCCTTTTCGATGTCCATAATCCAACACATCCTGGATCACACCATCGAGTCCCTGACCTAACTCAACAATCAAGAACATTGGAAATTCTTCAATATCTGCCAACAATAAAAATTTACATTTCAGGGAAGAAGAAATGAATAATTATCAAATATTAAGGTTCAGAATTAGCAAATTTACGTGCAAAATCTCAGGTGGAACTCTTCTATCATATAAAAAACTGGTAGAAAAATTCCCCAGTGCATTTCGAATATAAGATACACCCTAATAGGCAAAGAGCATGCTCACAAATTTGAGCACACGCAAGAGCATACTCAATTATAGAAATTTATGTGCTCAAATGAACATACTCTCATGAGTACATAATGAGTACAAAAACGTAGTATACTCAGTTGAGTACATTCATTGAGTACGCTCTCTTACATACTCTAAGTACATCAACATGATACAAAAAATTTTCTTTATGTGCTCTCTTGAGTATACTTATTGAGTATGTCCTCTCTCACATTGTGAGTATGACAAATGTGAGTGTAATTTCAAAGACAGTATACTCTCGTCAGTATACTCTTCAAGTGTACTCAAGAGCATATCTTTCTGATAATTCACATTTAAATACATTATGCTCATCTGAGTACACTTTCTGAGTGCACTCTCAAATGTACTCTGAGCACGTCTTTGTAATAAGTTTATGTAAGAAACATTATGCTCATCTGAGTACACTTTCTGAGTGCACTCTCAAATGTACTCTGAGCACGTCTTTGTAATAAGTTTATGTAAGAAACATTATGCTCATCTGAGTACACTTTCTGAGTGCACTCTCAATTGTACTCTGATCACGTCTTTGTAATAAGTTTATGTAAGAAACATTATGCTCATCTGAGTACACTTTCTGAGTGCACTCTCAAATGTACTCTGATCACGTCTTTGTAATAAGTTTATGTAAGAAACATTATGCTCCTCTGAGTACACTTTCTGAGTGCACTCTCAAATATACTCTAAGCACGTCTTTTTTACATGTCACATCCAATTGGATTATACTTAAATTCTCACTCTTAACAAATATTTACTTACAAGAATCTCTAGGTTTAATTTAAAAAAAAAAGTTTATAAATATCAGTTTGAAATCGTTTGTATGCTTCAGCACTGTATTTTTGTATTGGAAAAAAAAATGTCGAAAAATGAAATTTTTGCAATACTTCCTTCCGATGCAGTTTATGACCAAAATTTTGATTGAAACTGATGAGAATCATAATTTAAGACCTTTTGACATCTAAAAATTTTTACTTGGATGCTTCAGTTCCTTTAAATTTTACTTTTTCAATTTCGTTTGTGGAGTACTTGGAAATTTCATCACAGTAAACATTTTTAGGTTTTCACGTGTGAATTTATTGGCTTTGTTCAGATTAAAAAATCAGTTTTTTGAATTTTGTGAGGATATGGAACAAGGTAGCTTAAAATGGTCAGAGATGAAAAGTTTTATGCCTGGAATTTCACATCTTTTGCAAAACACAGATTTCAAATTGATTGCGACATTGCTGAGAAAATCGCAAAATACGCTTTCTGTAAGCAAACAAGCCAGCAAGTTAATCAGCAAGAAACGAGACATCGTAGAGACTTCTAGTTTTTTACATTTGATTCGTGCTGCTCTATAGAAGAGCTGCATTGTTTTTAAGGCAAGGTAGAAACAGCCGTTGCTTCAGAAAAAGCAAAAAACTTTCCTTTCTTACGAATTTTTCAAAACAAAAGTTCACTGTGATTTTTATAAAATTAAACTTTTGATGAAAAAAAAAAAAATTTTAAAAATCTTTCAAAGAATGTTCGTTAAGCTTTAAACCTTCAAACATATGCTGAGCGAAGCTCAGCTGACGCGCTAGCTTCATACCTTCAAACTTATGGATAACTTGGGTTTCTACCCGATACACTAGTTCTTAGCAATTTTTGCTTTATTTTTGCTCCTTAGAATCCAAAATGCCATCGGTTTCACATTAAGAAACAGTCAATTAACCTCTATGCCAAATTACAACTTATAATCTCAAAAAAGTTCAAATTTATAGCTAAAATAAATTATACATAGGTTTCCAACCCTTAGAATCCAAAATGACGTCGGTTATATATTCAGGTTATATACCACTTAACCTACATGCCAAATTTCAGATTAAAAGTTTAAAAGATACAAAAGTTATGGCAAAAAAATAATTTGGTATGAAAAATGTATGGAAAAAAGTGAATAACTCCGTGAAAAGCTCGGAAAACGCGTGGAAAAATATGAAAATGGAAAAATTTATCATAAAACATCATGATCTATCAAAAAAGTGTAAAAAGAATGAAAAAAAAAAGTTACTCACGGTGAGGCCTGAACCCGTGACCAATGAGTTGTGAGAAAATTCACCTTTTTAAGGGCTACGTAAAAATACGTATGTAAAACGTAAGGTAAAATTTCAGAAAAAGTTAATTTAATTAACCTTCCTTTCAGACGGACGGACAAAACGCAAGCAATAGCGTCATTTAAATTTTAAAATTTAAAATCAAAGTTAAATGTGTTATTTGCCAAAAATTTTACTTAAGATAACACAACTCAGTGGAGTAGAGGTAGCAACGCAGAATTTATCTAAGAACACAGCGGTCAGAAGTTCGAATCCCGGTAAGATTTATAAAATTTTCATTAATCATTTCTTCTTTCTTTCTTTCTTTCATAGCTTTGAAAATTAAACAGCATAATAAAAAAAAGTACACATTAATTATGTAAAATAATAGTAAAAAAAAGTTTCAAAAAATAATAATTTTTATTTATTACGTCCTTTAAAGTACACTCAAAGTATACTCTTTTGAGTACATCAATAGTCAGATTAATATGTACTTTTATGAGTATATTAAAAGTATATCAAACTAAGTATGCTCATTTGAGCATATGTTTTATGTGCTTAATTGAGCATAAAGTGTGTCACATGTGACATGACACATAAAAAAATGTTGTATTTCAAGAGTGTGCTCAAAGTATAACTGAGTGAGTATGCTCTGGTGAGTACACTTTTAGGCGTAAAGTAGTGGCACAAACTTTTGTATGAAAGAGCATACTTTTTAGAGTACACTCAGCAAAAATTAGAGTGTGCTCTTTCTGTGCTCTTTGCCAATTAGGGACAGGTATGCAAAATATTTATATTTGGTCATAAAAATGTTAAGCTTGAATAAAATTCTCAGTTGTTATAATTCCTATGTGTCTGATGCAGTAAGCTAGGTCATTCACTACACAAATGTACGTCACATTAAGAATATTATTCGTGATTCAACACTGTCAATATTTTGAATGTTAGTCAATCCGAATACTTAGTAAGTCTTTATTGGCATTACTAAAGAGAATTATTTGAAAATTTGGTGGATTATTTGACTCTAATGAGTAATAGTGATAGAAGAAATTTCAGATGATGGTTGATTCTATTATAAATGGAAACCTTTGTATTGAAATTTCGTCTCTTTAAAATCGAGCATCATTCGTGTTTAATCTTAGTAATTAGAGACTTAAAAAAAAGTTTTAATCCAGCTAAGAAGCGTTAACCCCCATTTAAACCAATTAAAACCTAGTTGTCTAGAATCCCTTGCGAATAGCTCTTGTCAGAATATGTCAGAATCGAAAATTGGCTAACGAACCTAAAATAAGAACAACAAATTGCAGATTCACAATTTACACTTCAAAAAACACAAAGTTTTAACTTCAAACAACCACAAACTTCAATCGTAAACATTCTCTGTGTATTACCTACACCAAATTTCTCGAATCACCAACTTTATCGTAATTTTCTAACCGCAATTTCTCCAATCTATAGCTGCATCTATTGATTTTATATCAAATTAGATTCTATTCAATACTGAAAACCCACAAGGATTAAAACAAATGAATTGATTCATTCAGTTTAATTGTTTTGTTAATTAACTTGACGAATAACTTTTTCATTAAATTGATGAGGGTAATGTAGAGCATTAAAGGTGAATGAAAAATGGAAAATTTGTCATCAAACGAGACGTTTTCTTTAGAATTCAACTAATTGAGTAGGGATGAATAAAGAGGCACTTGAGTTACTTACTTTTGGTATGTTTATGAAATATAAATATTTATTTTAAGGACATTGCATTTCTCGGTCTTTATGCTTTAGGGGATTTCTCAGTTCCAATAGCTTGCCTTTAATGAAGTTTGTTGATGGAACATTCTTTTGGAATGCTTATTAAATTAAATTGAGGATAAAATGTAGATTGCGATTAAGAAAATTAAGGATATGACATTTTTGATGCTAATCTAATAAGCATTTGGATGAATACAGATCACAAGCTAATAATTCCCATTATTTCAGATCATTGAGAAAACAAGTTGATCAAAAACCGCATGTAGCGTACGATTATTGGTATTAAAATACTTAAATTATACAAGAAAGTAAAGAAAATCCTGAAAGTCGTGTTAATTATACGACTATTTGTCAATTTTTGATTTTTAACACATATGAGAGTTATGTTAGAAGGATATGTTCATGTATTAATAATCGTGTGCAACTCAAGGCTAATAATAAAATCAACGAAATGCCACATACCTTAATACGCTCTGGAATTTCTTAAAAATTTGACGAACTCACTTGACAACAAATCCAGCAATAAGCTTGATTCCTCACAACGAAGCCCACATTAACTTGATATATAATCTTCATTTTTCAGTACTCTTTTCTTTATTCTTTATAAATTTCATATGAATTATCATCCAAAATAATAATATTTGCGTATAAATGTGCAGCAGCACTAGACAATCATCTCTAATTCCCGAGCATAAGTGATTGCCATTTCAGCTAATTCAACAGATGGAATCGGCTCCTTTACTTTAGGTCCTTCTTGACTTACAAAGTGATAAAGTCCATCCATTCCGAGAGTCCAATTGCGTTTCTTAGCAAAACTAGTGATGTCGTCCTTGGATGATAAGTTGAGACGTTTGCCGGCTTCCTGGATTGATACTTTCTCATATGCTCGTTCAAGACATGCTCCAATTTCATTTCGTACGGTATCAAGAAGAATGTCGATGAACAGATTGAAACAATCAGCTGGTGAATCATCCTTTGCCTTGAATAACTTATTGTATCTACCTTCCATTAAGCATTGTTCTAATGACAATGGATGTTTAATGAACTTATTTGACTGGATTATTTCGCATGGAAGTAGTTCAAGCTCAGTATGGAATTCAGCAACACGATTTTGAGACAGCAAATAGAGGAGATTTAATCCAAGCAGCTTATACTTGTTTGGTGATTCTGGGATCATGTTTTTGTAGTCATAATAATAGCATTTAAGTTGAGAAATGTATCGCTCGAATGACTGGATATTTTTAACCATCACACTATGTTCAGCACCGATTTCGAGTGTATCACGGGCAACAATCAATTCCTGTTGAGATGCTTGCGAGTCTGTTGTCGGCATATAAGAGATTTGAATGAGACTTATCTGAAGAATAATAAAATTTTATTTTCTAAACAAATGAAATTTTGTACAATTTCTTACTTTAAGTTGTTCCAACAAAGTTCCACACTTTTTCAAGTCACGAGTAGCCTTCCCGAACTCTACTTTAAGCTCTTTAAACAATTGATTAACTTGTCCTAATGTAGCCATTCTATTTAATGCTTAATTTAATTAAAACTTTATTTTTGGATGATTTTCTTATTTTTGCAAATCACGATTATTTTACAAAAATTCTACAAAAACCGTTGTAACCTTTTGTAAAATATCTAATCTTTATTTAAATTTATTCTGTATCAAATAATTGTATTCTGATTGTTTTATTCTTTCTATTGATTTTTAACATCTTTATGGATATTGTTAATTAACGTATATCATTAATTTATAACAAAAGATATTTTCACTGTAACGATTTTGTAAAATTTAAATTGTTGAAACTTTTTAAAATTTTCCCGCGAAAAAGAGCTCAAAGAAGTTTGAATTATAAAAAACCGTTACACTACATTCTAGCAAAATTGGAAAACAGAATAGAACTGATCATTTCAGATGCCTGTACCAGCCTGTACTTGCTGCATTTTAAGTGCGTCAACAGTACTAGTTGAATTATCATCAATAACCATAACTTTATTATTAAAATTTTGGATACATGCTATTTTGGAATCAACAGATGCTCTGATCCAATGCAATTGGCTAAATCGAGATATTGTGGATTCATCCTGTAAAGAAAAGAAGACTGGATAGGAAAGTATTAAGTGCATGTTAATGCATTAGAAGATAGCTAATTTTACTACCTACTCTAAAGTTTTGTGCCAGCGTGGTTGAGTTTTTGTAACTGAAATTTTAGAATACACATGCATTCGCCCTATTTGGTACAAAACCACTCACAGAATTTACACGAAAAGTGTTTACACACGGTTTAGAATCTAAAAACTGAATTAATCTATTCCAAAAGAAGGCAGACGATAGAGGATGTGATTTTAAGTTCTATATTTAACATAACGGCTGTAGAATATTCAAATTTAAAAAGCAACGCTGCAAAACAGAAAGTCGAAGAGTTTCAAACCAAGCCAAAATTTAATTTACTTAAAATTCGTATTTAATCGTGTTTTAGGAGATAGAAGGACATAAAATAGTTAAAAAAGCATTATTATTGAGCAAAGGAAGTGAGAATTAGTGAGAACAGTTGAAAAAATTGTAAGAAAAAGTTTTATTTGAAATTTGTTTAATGTTTACATTTTAAAGAAGTTTAAAATTTAATTCAAGCATTAATGATAGATGAGAATGGGACGTGTAGCGAAGAAGGCACCTGAAACACCTAAAGCTGTTGAGGATTCTCCAGCACAAACAGTCACGCAAACGAGAGCAAAAAGAACGCCAAAGCCAAATCCAAAATATGCAAATGATTCCGTTGTTTTACCACCAAAAATCGAGTCATCAGAATCGAATGGATCTACAGACATTGAAGACAAACTGCCCGAGACAAAGATTGTAAAATCAACAAGAAAGACGATACATAAAATTGAAGAGTCTATAACTAAAGTGAAAGGAGTCACAAAAGGCAGGACAACAACTGTTGTTGTTAAGAAACAAAAAATTGAGTTTGATGACGATGAAAAGACAAAAGATGCTGACGAAGTGATTCCAATTGTGGAATCACCAACACCACCAACAATGCGTACAACAAGATCCGGTAAAACGGAAGATAAAAGTGAAATTAAAGTTGGTGAAGAGTCAGTTGCTATAATTGATGTATCCAGCATCATTGCTAAGAATGCACCAGCAAAGCAAGAGTCACCAAAAGGTAGAGCAGCTGGTCGTAAACGTCAAGCACAAGAAGTTGTTGAAATTAAGGATGAATCACCGAAAAAGAAAAAGGAAGATGATAAGCCATCAATAATTACAGCCAGGAAATCATACATGCCAATGAAAAAGGAAGAAAATGAAGAGGACATAAAGGAGGATGAGGAAGAGCCAGAAATTATTGAAAGTAAAGATATTATTACAGAAACAAAGAAAGAAATTGATGTAAAAACGCCAACAAGTACAATGAAAACTCGTCGCAATGCAACACCATTATCAGCGGAACCAGCTGAAAAGAAGACAAAAATTGAGGACATTAAAGCAGAAGTCATATTAAAGCCATCAATTGAGCCGAAAAAACTTCCAGTTATGCGTAAGGAACAAATAACAAAAGTCTCACCCGTAACTTTACCGACTTCAAAGACCATCAATAATGCTGTTGACTCAGCAATTGAACCAAAACCAGCACCGCGTCTTCTCAACTCAATGATTACACCGAAAAGTGCTAAATTCTCACCAAATGTTAAGCTCGCTGGCGATGGAAGTAACAAAAAAGTCTTTTCAATTGACATGTCTGACGACTCATTGATTGAGAAAAAGGCTGCATTAGCTATTGCTTCATCGCCCGTAAAAAATCCGCCATCAGCTGTAAAGGAAAATATTGCAATTATACCTAAAACACAGCCATCAGTTTTGCTTAAAAATAAGCTCGAATCGGAATTGAATCGAATGAAAGCATCAGCTAATCTAATAAAGCGTCAAATGCTCACAACACCAGCATCACGTCAAGCTCAAGCTCATCAAAATACTTCTGGTGGAATTACAAATGTTACGTCTAGCGGTGCTCGTCGTATAACTAAATTCGAGTCATGGTACGTGATTGATGTTAAGAATAATGATCAATTGATGCCATTTAAACATCATACATCGACATATCCACTCGTGAGAATTGCTAATAAATTAAAGGAAATAGAATTGCCATCAGCAAAATGGGACTATAAAGTGACGCTACAAAGGAAGCAGAACAATAATAATGACGACGATGAGGATGTTTATACTGGCGATGTGCATGATAAGGCAATAGAAGCTGAGAAGCATAATTTTGAGCCCAATTCAATATTATTTAAGAGAAGTTCTCGAGAAAGTAACAAAATTTTAGTCGATCGATCGCTTATGCTTAAAAATAAGATTTATACAGTAACGATGAACGGTAAGCAATGTCATCTTGTTGGTGCACCCGACGACATAAAATCCCTTGAAGATCTTGAGATATTATTAAAAATAGTTGATAATTGTAATATTGCACATTCATGCATAGAGACAGCTTCCTAGAAAAACAAAACAATTTAATTAACCTTTTTTTTGATTATTTTTTTGAAAATGCATATATATAATTATTATTTTGCAGTAACAACATATATTTTTAAAACAATTCAAATTATTATCATCTCGATCATTTAGAAAAAACTTAAATTTTTAAGTTTAAAATTACCTTTTTTTCTTGCTTGACACAAAAACTTTTTTTCTTTTTCTTTTTAAATTATATTCTCTTTCCTTTTTTGAGTCTAGTTGGAATTTTATTCATATTTAATTATTTCACATCGTTAAGAAGTGAGAGAGAGAGAGAAAGAGAAATTCTATAATGTAGAATATATATTAATTAAGTTATACAATCTAAAATTATGCGATGAATCGGTTAGTTTTCTAATTATCTTGTCTTATCTTTCCTTCTATTTTGATTCACATTCATCGCTGCTCTTTTTTCCAATGATCCTTATTAAAAAAACTTTTAAATGTAAAAAATCATGTTTGAAATAAAAGAAATTTATGAAATTTTAAGGAATAAACTTTTTAATGTTTAATTTGTATTTCAACGGATTTATAGAATTTAAATATTCAACGATTTCGTAAGATTCAAATTTTGAGCGGTTCTTATCATTCAAATTTTAACGATTCTTAAGGTTCAAAAATTGAACTTCTTTAAAAATTTGAATTTTTAACGGATTATTTTACTAATCATCAGAAAATCATTAACAAGGCAAGTAATCCACAAATAAATTCCTTCATGACTCAAAACATTCTTATTAAAATTCAATTTTCTCTTTACAGACAAAGCTTCTTCTCATAGAGCCACATGCAACTTTAAAAGATGTAAGTATCCCGATGAATAATGCATAATTTATTAAAAATTCAATATGATGATAATATATTCATGAAATTGATTGATGATGGAACAAAAGACAGAATACAGGCACGATTCAATAAGAGTTGGGTAAATCGATTCGAATGCAATTTTTATGATTCAAACATGCTTGTGCTTTCTGTTCTTTGTTTCTCTCAACATGATCAATATTTAAGTTTTCAATCTGAATTTTATTTCACGCTTTGAAGTTTTAATGAGATTTCTACTGGAAATTTTTATTCATGCCTTTCTTCTTATTTGCTCTTAATTACAGATTCCTTTCATGTGCAAATGCTGAAAGTCACATGCTGAAGTCACATTTCATCAACGTTTTTAAATATTTTATGTTCCATGAATGGTGCACAGGATGTGAACAAGTGTGTATAAAAATAACTAGAGCAGCATTGACAAGGCAGGCAAATCAATTTGTTGAAATTAAAGGCTTTATGAAAAGAAGATGTTAGGCGATTGACTGAAATGTTGTAATATTTTGGAGATGATAGATCTCTAACGAATGAGTTTCAATTACTACACAGCGTCTTAAGAATCCTAATAATAATAGTAATCCTTTATTTGAATGCATGAAATATGTCGGAACAAAAATGTAGATTTTTATATTCACACCGTTTTCACGTGTGAATGTTTTGTTTTTGTTCAGATTGAAAAATCAGTTTTTTGAATTTTGTGAGGATATGGAGCAAGATAGCTTAAAATGTTCAGAGATGAAAAGTTGGTGCCTTGAATTTCACATCTTTTGCAAAAAACAGATTTCAAATTGGTTGTGGCATTGCTGAGAAAATCGCAAAATACGCTTTCTGTAAGCAAACAAGCAAGCAAGTTAATCAGCAAGAAATCTCAATAACGAGACATTGTAGAGACTTCTAGTTTTTTACATTTGATCCGTGCTACTCTATAGTAGAGCTGTATTGATTTTAGGCAAGGTAGGAATAGCCGTTGCTTCAGAAAAAGCAAAATACTTTCCTTCCTTACGAATTTTTCAAATTAAAAGTTCACTGTGATTTTTTTTTTTTTAAACTTTGGATGAAAATTTTTTTTTTGAGAAAAGAACCAAGTAGGAAATACATTTTCAATTTTGGACTAGGGGCGACCCTAGTCAAAATCAATTTTGTCACTTTTTTCTTCGAGGGTTTATCCAAATGGATTGAAACTTTGCATAAATATTTAAATGCTTAAAACAAATACAAATAAAACATCTTAAATTTTTTTGAGCAAAAAACCAAGTAGGAAATACATTTTCAATTTTGGACTAGGGGCGACCCTAGTCAAAATCTATTTTCTCACTTTTTGTCGAGTGTTTATTCAAATGGATTAAAACTTTGCATAAATATTCAAATGCTTAAAAAAATACAAATAAAACATTCTAAAATTTTTTTGAGCAAAGAACCAAGTAGGAAATACATTTTCAATTTTGGACTAGGGGTGACCCTAGTCAAAATCAATTTTGTCACTTTTTTCTTCTAGGGTTTATATAAATGGATTGAAACTTTGCATAAATATTCTGGTGCTTAAAACAAATACAAATAAAACATCCTTAAATTTTTGAGCAAAGAACCAAGTAGGAAATACATTTTCAATTTTGGACTAGGGGCGACCCTAGTCAAAATCTATTTTCTCACTTTTTGTCGAGTGTTTATTCAAATGGATTAAAACTTTGCATAAATATTCAAATGCTTAAAAAAATACAAATAAAACATTCTAAAATTTTTTTGAGCAAAGAACCAAGTAGGAAATTCATTTTCAATTTTGGACTAGGGGTGACCCTAGTCAAAATCAATTTTCTCACTTTTTTCTTCTAGGGTTTATATAAATGGATTGAAACTTTGCATAAATATTCTGGTGCTTAAAACAAATACAAATAAAACATCCTTAAATTTTTGAGCAAAGAACCAAGTAGGAAATACATGTTCAATTTTGGACTAGGGGTGACCCTAGTAAAAATCTATTTTCTCACTTTTTGTCGAGTGTTTATTCAAATGGATTAAAACTTTGCATAAATATTCTAGTGCTTAAAACAAATACAAATAAAACATTCTAAAATTTTTTTGAGCAAAGAACCAAGTAGGAAATACATTTTTAATTTTGGACTAGGGGCGACCCTAGTCAAAATCTATTTTCTCACTTTTTGTCGAGTGTTTATTCAAATAGATTGAAACTTTGCATAAATATTCTAGTGCTTAAAACAAATACAAATAAAGCATCCTAAAATTGTTTTGAGCAAAGAACCAAGAAGGAAATACATTTTCAATTTTGGACTAAAGGTGACCCTAGTCAAAATCAATTTTGTCACTTTTTTCTTCGAGGGTTTATCCAAATGGATTGAAACTTTGCATAAATATTCTAGTGCTTAAAACAAACACAAAAAAAACATCTTAAAAATTTTTTGAGCAAAGAACCAAGTAGGAAATTCATTTTCAATTTTGGACTAGGGGTGACCCTAGTCAAAATCAATTTTGTCACTTTTTTCTTCGAGGGTTTATCCAAATGGATTGAAACTTTGCATAAATATTCTAGTGCTTAAAACAAATACAAATAAAACATCTTAAAATTTTTTTGAGGAAAAAACCAAGTAGGAAATACATTTTCAATTTTGGACTAGGGGCGACCCTAGTCAAAATCTATTTTCTCACTTTTTGTCGAGTGTTTATTCAAATGGATTAAAACTTTGCATAAATATTCAAATGCTTAAAAAAATACAAATAAAACATTCTAAAATTTTTTTGAGCAAAGAACCAAGTAGGAAATACATTTTCAATTTTGGACTAGGGGTGACCCTAGTCAAAATCAATTTTGTCACTTTTTTCTTCGAGGGTTTATCCAAATGAATTGAAACTTTGCATAAATATTCTAGTGCTTAAAACAAATTCAAATAAAACATCTTAAAATTTTTTTGAGCAAAGAACCAAGTAGGAAATTCATTTTCAATTTTGGACTAGGGGTGACCCTAGTCAAAATCAATTTTCTCACTTTTTTCTTCTAGGGTTTATATAAATGGATTGAAACTTTGCATAAATATTCTGGTGCTTAAAACAAATACAAATAAAACATCCTTAAATTTTTGAGCAAAGAACCAAGTAGGAAATACATGTTCAATTTTGGACTAGGGGTGACCCTAGTCAAAATCAATTTTGTCACTTTTTTCTTCGAGGGTTTATCCAAATGGATTGAAACTTTGCATTAATATTTAAATGCTTAAAACAAATACAAATAAAACATCTTAAATTTTTTTGAGCAAAGAACCAAGAAGGAAATACATTTTCAATTTTGGACTAGGGGCGACCCTAGTCAAAATCTATTTTCTCACTTTTTGTCGAGTGTTTATTCAAATGGATTAAAACTTTGCATAAATATTCTAGTGCTTAAAACAAATACAAATAAAGCATCCTAAAATCGTTTTGAGCAAAGAACCAAGAAGGAAATACATTTTCAATTTTGGACTAGGGGTGACCCTAGTCAAAATCAATTTTCTCACTTTTTTCTTCTCGGGTTTATATAAATGGATTGAAACTTTGCATAAATATTCTAGTGCTTAAAACAAATACAAATAAAACATTTTAAAATTTTTTTGAGCAAAGAACCAAGTAGGAAATACATTTTCAATTTTGGACTAGGGGCGACCCTAGTCAAAATCAATTTTGTCACTTTTTTCTTCGAGGGTTTATCCAAATGGATTGAAACTTTGCATAAATATTCTAGTGCTTAAAAAAAATACAAATAAAACATCCTAAAATTTTTTTGAGCAAAGAACCAAGAAGGAAATACATTTTCAATTTTGGACTAGGGGCGACCCTAGTCAAAATCAATTTTGTCACTTTTTTCTTCGAGGGTTTATCCAAATGGATTGAAACTTTGCATAAATATTCTAGTGCTTAAAACAAATACAAATAAAGCATCTTATCATTTTTTTGAGCAAAGAACCAAGTAGGAAATACATTTTCAATTTTGGACTAGGGGCGACCCTAGTCAAAATCTATTTTCTCACTTTTTGTCGAGGGTTTATCCAAATGAATTGAAACTTTGCATAAATATTTTAGTGCTTAAAACAAATACAAATAAAACATCCTAAAATTTTTGAGCAAAGAACCAAGTAGGAAATACATTTTCAATTTTGGACTAGGGGCGACCCTAGTCAAATTCAATTTTGTCACTTTTTTCTTCGAGGGTTTATCCAAATGGATTGAAACTTTGCATAAATATTCTAGTGCTTAAAACAAATACAAATAAAACATTCTAAAATTTTTTTGAGCAAAGAACCAAGTAGGAAACTAGATTTTGGCCAGACCTGTCCCAAGTTCATAATTGAAAATGTATTTCCTCCTTGGTTCTTTGCTCAAAAATTTTAGGATGTTTTATTTGTATTTGTTTTAAGCACTAGAATATTTATGCAAAGTTTCAATCCATTTGGATAAACCCTCGAAGAAAAAAGTGACAAAATTGATTTTGACTAGGGTCACCCCTAGTCCAAAATTGAAAATGTATTTCCTACTTGGTTCTTTGCTCAAAAAAATTTTAAGATGTTTTATTTGTATTTGTTTTAAGCATTAGAATATTGATGCAAAGTTTCAATCCATTTGGATAAACCCTCAAAGAAAAAAGTGACAAAATTGATTTTGACTAGGGTCGCCCCTAGTCCAAAATTGAAAATTGATTTTCTATGGTGTACTTTGGTCAAAAAAATTTTTTGGATGTTTTATTTGAATTGACATAATTCTGACATAAATCACATACCAATATTACTTTTTGTAGTGCATAGCTTAAAAGAAAATCGAAATCTAAAATTTCGACTACCCCATCTGAATTTTGTTCATACTCTTCACTGTGGAAACCAAAAAACAAATTCTGTATCTTAAAACACTTGACAAAATTGCGACATAATTCAGGATTAATCAGCTATACTCGTTCATAGTGTTCCCGAGGGTGACAAACTTCAAACTAAGTGTTTTTGTAGCTGACATAATTATAACATAAATTAGGTATAACTTTTAAACTGTGTCGATATGGGTCTCGGCCGTACTTCATGCCCACCCTTCAAACTTATGCTGAGCAAATCTTGGTCTATCCATAAGACTTTTGATGGTACGGTGTGAATATATCCGCATTGGGTTTCTACCCGATGCACTAGTTTTATATTAACCTCGTCGGTTTTTAATCAAATTTTAAACTGAGATATGATTAGTGATATGACATGATTTAAGCTTTGAAAATTTGAGTTTTGGTTAAAATTTTTTTTTAAAAAGACCAATTAAAACAACAAAGAAAATTTAATAATAATAATAATAATATACATGTATTTACCGACGAGGCTTCGGTAATTTGTGTTTTACTCGAAAACTCAGTGAATCATAATAGAAATTTTCAGTTAAACGGGATATGAAATTTGACATTAATGGGATTTCATGGAAAAAGCTTTGGAGGCAACTTACTGTTTTGGACAGCTCAGTTTTGATGGATTTCAAGTTTTTCCAAGGATACTGTACAAAGAATGCGGTGTCATCAGCATATAAGCAGAGATCTCCCTTTGATGGAATTGGAACATCATTAATGAATAAATTGAACAAGAATCCTAAACTTCAAGCAATCTAAGAATGGTTATTAGCAACAATATTACTAGATATTTGTAACTATATCATTATTTTTCAGCCGCTTACGCTTTCAGCATAGCATTAAGTTAAATTTATAACAAACGAATTGTCAACAACTTTCATTTTAAGCAAAATTGGAAATGAGTTGGTTTTTGATTTTCACACGAGTATTTACAAAGGGCGATGTGTAAATAACTTAAAATTTGTATTCGTTGACTCGACGATTTAAATTAAATTGATTCATCTTTGCACATCGGAAATGTTTTTATTTTATTTTTAACTCAATTCATTTTAAAACGTGTTTGATTACAATCGATTTGTAAACTAAGAGGAGTAAAAAGGTTTTTATTAAGAGACATTGTTTTCAAGGTAAACTTATAAAATGCAATCAATATCTCCTTTAACTTATGGGATCTGACTCAGAAATTGTAAAACCAGAATATCATATTTTTTATCAAAAATATATCATTTAAAGGTCTAATGCAGAATAAGAAGCTTATAAAATAGTAAAATTAGCTAAAAATAGGATAGCACAGTGAGTACCTTACTTTGCAGTTCTCTTAAAAAAAAATTTGGTATTTGTGCATGAAATTGTACAACAAATTCAAAAGCATTACCTTACTAGCTAGAACTAATCTACAGAAATGGCACTTCATAAAAATAATCCTTGGTGGACTGAAAAATATGAAATTTCAAGCTTATGCTGCGCTGGAGGTGTCTCATTTCAGGCAAAGAAAGAAAATAAATTTTTCAATCATGATTTTTTAACAAACGATTTTGTCTCAACTTATAGGGACGGTCTAATGTAATGGAAGATACATTTAAAGTCATACCAAATATCAATGGTTCAAATGTATCGATTTTTGGAATGTTTGATGGACATGCTGGCGAGTTCGCTAGCAAATATGCATGTGATATTATTATGCCGTGCATAAGTGATAAAATAGTAAATGTTATGAACCTTATTGAACAAAGAAATAGCAAATTAAAAGCCCAGAAAAATACCGTAAATGATGTTGAAGAAGAAGAAGAGTCGAATAGTTCTGATTCAGAAGTTTATATTACGCAGGATAATAAGATAAATTATGAATTATTACTTAATGATGAAATCCTTAATGGAGATAAAGTACTAAATGAACGGCTTTCTAAAGCTGCATTATTTTGCGGAACAACTTTTTGCTTAGTTTTAGTCGACATTACAAATAAAATGCTCGTTTGTGCAAACGTGGGAGATTCAAGAGCAGTACTTTGCAATACGAAAGGTTCTGCAGTTCAATTATCATATGATCACAAGCCAAATAATCCTGAAGAGTTGAAAAGAATTCAAGAGAATGGAGGATATGTGACAAATAAAGATGGATGTTGGAGAGTTTCGGATGTTTTGGCTACTTCAAGATCAATAGGCGATTATCCTCTTAAATCAAAAAAAGTTATTACAGCAGTTCCAGATTTTCAAATTATGAAATATAAAGATTTTAAGTATTAATAATTAAAAATCTTTGTTTAAGATCATTGATCTAAATGATTTATTATTTTCAAACAGATTCTTTCCAAAATTTATCATTCTTGCAACGGATGGCGTTTGGGACGTGATATCTAATCAAAGTGCTTGCGATTATGTAAAGGAGAAAATAAAGGAACAACATTGTGGAGCTAAAAGTTTAGTTAAAAATGCATATGCTAGAAAGTCGGAAGATAATATTTCTGCTATTGTCATAAAGTTTATTAAGCCAAAGAAAGTTCATAAAAGATCGAGTTTTGATCCTTACGTCGGCACGTATGAGTGGCTAAGATGATTTAATAAAAATATTCGTTCACTTATGAGCATGATTTATTTTTCAAAACCAAACAATAGAATTTCTTAGATAGAGCTCTTTACCCCCCCCCCCCCCCCTCCCCTTCCCTTCATGTGACTCGATTCATCAATTTATTCAAGAAATTATCAACTTTTAAAAATTGTTAAAATATCAAATTTTCGGTTAAATTCAAAATAAATGCTTTAAACTATCAAAAAATCTGATGATAATAATAAATAATTCGAACCTCCAAAAATCATGAATCTTTCGTCAAAAACTAACGGTTCAATTAATTTTGAAAATTTTGTCGAAAATTTAAACAAGAAAAATACAATTTTTTATCGAACCACTGACTTTGAATTAAATACGATTTGTTATGATATTAATTAATAATAGCGGTGATTATTAAAAACCTATTAAATTTGATATAAAATAATTTAAAAACCTATAAAACCTACCTGGCATAATAACTTCAAAATTATCAAAATGATATAAATTCAAAAACCGAACGACTTTTCAAAATTCAAAATCTAAGCAGGGGAGAATCAACGCTAGGGGAATATCAACTCTGGCAAGTTTTTCTCAAAAGAGATTCACTCTGAATTTTAATATCGCAAAAACTTAATTAATTTGGCAAAAATAGGCAAATATATGGATTGAAGTAGATAATAGACTTACAACTGCCATGAATGTGACTGAAGGATAATTCAAGAGAACCTCAACTAGGGAGTAAAAGTGATTTTTAATTTAAGGCCCTTTCTAGTGTATTTTTTTTTGTGTGTTGATATTAAATTAAATTTCGCATTTATCACATATAAAGTTAATAAATGTGAATAGTAATCTTCATGATTAGATAAGTGAAAAGAAAGCTATTTGTGTTGTGCAAAAGTTCGTAATTTGATCGAATGAAATAGTGCAGAAAAATAAGAAGGAAAAAAAAAACATCCAAGCAGTGAAAAGGATTTCATTTTTTATGGAAAATTAGGAGAAGAAAAAAGAAAGAATATCAGGGAGGAGCATATAGGAGTGAAATACAGAGAACAGTGAAAAAAAAATATAAAAAATATTGTAAAGTTGGAAACCTGAGAATTGTGTGTTTTATGGATGCCGAATTAATTCATTGTCATTTCTATTAGATGTAACTTATAATAAGCATAATTCGGATGTGTTATATGTGTTAAACGATGCACTTGAGTGTAAATTAAAATATATAAATTCAAAAAAGAGAGCATAGAACATCCGGAAGTAGTTTAAGTCATATTTCTATGATAAGCGTTCAATGAACTGAATAAGAAGAATATAGTTATCCAAAAAAGAAAGAAGCAGCATCTATACAATTTAAGAGTATACATAAAATAGTTTTTTTCTTATTACTCTTTCTCTCTCTTCTGCTCTGCCTGCCTGCTGTATAAAACTCACAATACAAGACATTTTACTCCCCCATATCCATTAGAATATTCACATACATCATGTTTCCGTAAGTCGAACGGCTGTTTATTTGTTTTTTTTTTTGTGTCGTAGGGTTTCCAAAAATGGAATTACTCCTGACTGGACTTTCTAGTCACAATTGACCCTGAAAATTGAGTCAGGAAGTTCTTAAAAGACGTGTGTTAAACTTGCATATGTTAAGTTGGTGACATTTTATGGCCATTTAAATGATTTTAAAAGTTTAATTCTTTTTATTGAGGACTGCATAATAGATTTTTAAACCGCTTTTAGGGATTTTAATGTGATTTATTGACAATTGCACATTTTAATAGTTTTTAAAACTTGAATTTAAATAGCTTTGTAAATTTTGAATTCTATCGGTTTTGTAGAATTTAAAATCTAACGGGTTTGTAATTTTTAAAAGTCAAAGTTCAAATTTTGAATTCCAACCAAAAAACAATTCAAATTCTTAAAAGCCGTTAATTCCAACCTTATCAATTAACATCACTAAAATCCTACTAAGTGCAATGATTCACATTTCCTCATGTGATTTCTTATCACCGACTGACTGCATTAAGAATATGATTTTATTATGCAAATATTTTTCGAATTAATCACGTAGAATTCCTGAGTAAATTATTCACCACTGAATGTCCATTCATAAACAAATTAAAAAGTAATTCGCGGAAACGACATTATTTTGGAAACTCTATAATAATAATTTTACTACTTGATATGTCCGTGAATTGATGTTAATTAATTTGATTTCCCTTTTTTTTTCTTCTCCTTCTCACTCACCTACAACTTGCTTACTTACTATCATCATTATTCCATAAACACACAACTTTTATGTGTAAATTGCGACAATCATCAATAATAAAAATAATGAATGAATGAATGAGCAGCGAGCAAAGTATCATTGGGGCACGAGCCTCAGTAATGATCTATGATGAGAATCTCAAGAAATGGATTCCATCAGGCAATTCGAGTGGTCTCAGTAAAGTCCAAATATTTCATCATATACAAAATAATACGTTTCGTGTTGTTGGAAGAAAATTACAAGATCACGAAGTCGTCATAAACTGCTCGATCGTTAAAGGTCTAAAATATAATCAGGCAACGGCAACGTTTCATCAATGGCGCGACTCTAAATATGTATATGGATTAAATTTTTCTAGTCAACAGGATGCTGAGAATTTTGCACGTGCTATGATGCACACATTAGAGGTTTTATGTGGACGAGCTGTGGCTGTGCCGCCAAATACCCAACAGCAAACCTCCCAACCACAAAATCAACAGCAGCAACAACAACAAAATTCATCATATGATGAAGATATGGGATATCGAACGATGACGAGAGAAGATGCCGATATTGTGCTGAATCAACAGCAACAACAGACACAAATTTTGTCACCCCAAACGCCAACTTCACAAACTATTCAACAGCAACAACTACAACAACAAAATATTCAAGGACATCATCGAGCAAGCAGGTAGCTAAAAAATCCAATTTTTATATGATTTTATATTTTTTCGAAAGGGCTTTCGTCTTTAGTAATCAGATAGCTTTTCAGCATAAACATTCGTCATATTTTTCATTTAGTTGTAAATTATAAAAATCACGTCGAGTCATCGGCCAATAATAAAATTAATAATTTCCATTTTTGCTTTCATTTCATATTCTTTGTAGCGCTCCTCAAGCACCACAAATGCCAACGATGTCAGTTATGCCACAGCAACAGCCAATGCAAAATTATCCACAACAATATCCAATTTACGCGACCGGTCAGCCACAAATGAATCAAGTAAATCAAATGAATCTTCAGCAACAGCCACAAAATGGACAAATTTACGTACCGTCTTCAATATCAATTCAAAATTCATTAAATAATGCAGCAAATGTACCAAAACAAGCACCAATACCGCCAATGATGCCACCACAACAAATAACTAATAATAATGGCAACAGTAATAATCCATATGCACATGGAAATCAAATGATGCAGGCACAACAGCCAATGCCAATACCAATACAGCAACAACAAATAATTCCACCAGCACCACAATATATACCAACATTGCAAACACAAACAAGCGTTCCTGCTGCTCCCCCACCTCCTCCTCCTTCTGGATTTGGGAATCCAATACCGCCATGTCCACCTCCAGCACCAATGATGCCGACAAATATAGCACAAGTAGCACCAAATAATGCAATTGTTACGAATATTGCAAATGGAGGCTCTGCACCTCCACCTCCTCCCCCAATGCCAATGAATAGCTCTAAACCAGGAATGGATATGGGATCATTAGCTGCACAGTTACAGCAAGCAAAATTAAAGCGCACTAATGCACCTCCATCAACACAGCCTAATGAAAATAGTGGAAATAGTACATCAAGTAGCGGAAGTGGAGGTGCTGGAAATTATGGAACAATTGGACGAACAGGAGGTGGTGGTGAAATGGCATCTATGATGGATGAAATGGCCAAGACTTTAGCTCGTCGTAGGGAGAGACAGAAGGATTCTGTAAGTTGACTTTTACGACTAGATTTAAATGTTAATTTTTGGCTTAATTAGTGGATTAACTCTTAATCTGGGATAAATCTCTGGATTTAAATTAATCCCAGTGTCCACGCCTTGGATTTAAGTTTAATCTCATTACTAAACTAAAATGTATGCTCAATCCAGACAATTTCTAATGCAATAATTTCATGCATCAGTTAACCCACATACTACACTTAACCTAGTTATAATTATTTAATAAATTCCATATTTGTCTTCATGCACAGAGCACCCAAGACGTCGATAGTGATAAATGGGAAAAGTCCAATACATTACCACATAAGTTGAGTAGCAGTAATTCACAAACACTTCCATCATCGTCATCATCAAATGCAGCATCATCGCTCGCCGACTCACCTCAATCCCGTAAACGTTTCGGCAGTGCCTCTGAAGAGACAATTTTAAAGGTTTGCTAAAAATAAGTTTTTGACTTTTTCTTTCATGCAATTTTTCCTTTTACTCATCATAATAATTATGAATCATTTAATATTCATGTTTTTCCTAATTTTCATCTCTTCTTTCTGTCTATATAGCAAGTAAATGGTGGAGATAGCTTTTCATTGCCACCATCATTTGATATGAAGGCTTTTAAGGCGGATATCCTAAAAGAAATGCGCAGCGAAATTACCAAAGCAAAGAATGAAATCATTGACGGTGAGTATCCAAGACTATAAATTTAATTATATACGTATGATATCGTGTGACGTCACGTTTTTAACACATAAAAATGATTCAACAAAAATCTTCTGTTTATTTCTTGAAACCCACTTTCCGATGATTTCCGTTTGCTGGTGAATAATCGATTTCGATTTCTGCTTTTATTCCATGCTATTTTCATATTAATGTGTAATTGGGGTCTTCGTTTGAGTTCATTTTGACTGAAGGATAAGCAATATTGACTTACCGGCTAAATTTTGAATTTTTACAAAATCGTAACATTTTGAATACTACAAAACCGTTAAATTTTGAATTTTACAAACCAGCTATAGTTTGAATTCTACAAAACCGTTAAATTTTAAATTTTATAACACCGTTAATTTTTGGAAAAAAATTTTTTTTTTAAATTTAACAACCTGCTGCTGCTTTTGTTTACTAGCTCCAAGCTCTACAAAAATTCAAAATATAAATCAATTTAATTCCTTGCGAAAGTCCTTCGAAATTTGACACCAAATCTAGATCTCAGTAGCTTTAAGGACATACATATTTGAGATCAGATCTTAAAGCACAAAAAGTGATTTTAATGAAAAAATTCCCAAGAAATATCAAATTCCTATTGTTTACCGATAAAATGAAAATTTGATTGTCATTGAGTCGCACAAAAATTCTCGCTGTGAATCTCGAGATAATCGATTTGAAAATGTCAATGATAAACTTTCCTGCTAGCCTTGAATACAAGAGGAAGAAAAAACGTGAAAGCTAAACACATTGCATATTTATTCGCCAAAGTAACTTTTATAACTCAATAAAACAAGTTTCATGTAAAAAAAATTGATGATTTAATTTCTTGTGTTACTAGCACAAGGAAAAATTGGAAAATCACTGGGAAATATCGATTTTTCTGGCTATTTCCTAATTAATTTAACGAGTAATTTGTGTCAGGAATTAAAATTAGCAGCAAGTGAACTTTGAATAGAGAAACTGGGTTGTTAGAAAATTGCTTGTATTTACATTTTTCTCATGAATTAGCTTTTTATTCGATGAGTTTTTTGTGGATGATTCATCGATTTAGATGAGTTTTGTTGCTTGTTATATTGATTTTTTCTGGATGAGATTTTAATGTTGGATGATCAAGCTTTTGTCAATTAATTTATTTGAATAAATTGAGTTCTAGGTTTTCAAACTATCAGGACTAGATTTTGAATAATCTGACGTAATTTCATTATTGGAATTTCAACAAACTAGACTATGATGTACTAGAATTTCAATAATTTAATCAAATTTGCACTAAATTTTCAATTATCAGTTCTAGTTTTAAAACTAGAATTATTTAAAATCTAGGGTTTCAAAAGGCTAAGATTTATTTTAGTACTGGATTCTTCAATTGTGTTGCTTTGTTATGTACTAGATTTTTATTCAGTCTGATTAATTTTTGGTACAAGAATAGTACCAGATTAAAGCTTTAATTGAAATCTCAAAAATAGTACTAGATTTTATTCAATTAGATTAGTAAATGTACTAGATTCAAATTATTTTAAATAATTATGTACTAGATTCTTTATTCACCAGATTACGGTTCAAATTGTTTTAAAATTCCTAAACCCTATTAAATCACTCATAAAATAAACTGAATTCAACGCAAAAAACTTAAAAACTCAATAAAACACTCAAAGCTTATCAAATCGATAAATTCAAATGCGCACACAATAGCAATTAAATTAATAAACGACTTTATAACTTAATTTTAACATAATCTAATTTACGATCTGTTTATTATTGAAAAGAAATTTTTTATATTTATTTATTCTCTCGTTTTTTCTCTTTTTTCTTTCTCATTACCATTTTTAGCTATCAAAGTAGAACTTAATCGACGCCGATAAATACTAGTGCTGATTATTTTATATTCATCGATCTACAGTTAATTTTTAATTTCCTATTTCCTTAAAATTAACTACATATTAAAATTTATAAGACGCAGATGGGAGAATTTTTTGTCTTATTGAAGTATTTATACACTTACTATACGCATTTACGAATTGATAACAAAAGAAAATAAGATAAAAAGTTGAATGAATGAAAAACCGCAAGAAAATGACATTATTATCCCGTGACATCCAATTCTAATCAAATTTCTATTTAAATTAAGGTAAATACATTATATACACATAATTATAACTACCTTTAATAATAATTAAAAAAAAATCACAAGAAGAAAACATTCAATATCTAATAATATTGTTTTGGATATGGACGAGTGAGGGGATCATTCATTGATGATGTCTACATTTTTGGGGGTATGAATTGGGTCTTAAGCAGTGACAAATCTAATGCTGGAATGAAAATATTGTGGAAAAAGGGTTTTAAAATTCAATTGTCACAAAACTTCAATTCAAAATATGATTTTTTCAAAAATCTCAGACCCCTCCGTCTCCCCTTAAACTATGTGACATCATAAGTGAATGACTCCTAAATGAGTCATGGCCAATAAAAAGCTATTGTTACAACATAATATTTTATGAGAAAAGTAAAATGAAAAAAGAATATGAAACTTTAGTTACACAACAACACATATACCTAATATACAATGATGAAAAAGTTTTATTTTAATTTACTTCTTTTTCTGTATTTTGATATCCGGCAGTAAAAGAATTTTTTTATATGCATATAATTAAAGTATCTATGATAAATGAACAGATAAAACCTATTTGCAAGTGATTTAAAAACAAAATTTGAGAACTATTATTATTGGATATTAAAGACCTAAGAAAACGGACTTAAGGTGATAAAAAGAAAATTTCTTCAATGCTTGGTCATTTCGATGGTAATGGTTGTCTTGGTTCTGATGTAATTTAACGACCATAAAATATTTTAACTTTTATCTGATGGATTACATTTAAATCCAATAGATTAGTTTTTAATTTTGAGGATTTAAATTCATTGGATTTACCAATGGATCTATATTTGACCTACTAACTTTTAAACCTTATTCTCAAGCTTGAGATCAATTAAAACTACTATTTCTCTCTATGACTTTTTTTGGCAACAATTAAATGGTAATTTTGACCCAATTCCAACCTTACTATACAAAAAAATACAGACTGCCTTCATTTTTGGAAGCATGAACAAAATTTTTTATCGGGATATATCACATAGCATGATTCGAAATTAAGCTTAAATTATTATACCAGACTATTTTTATCGGATACAAGACTGAAAAAAAATTATTTTTAATTGCATGAAATTTTTATACACAAAATTTAGTTTTATATGTTTGCTAGTGATTAATTCTGAATCTCATGATTTATTTGTCGAAATTATCAAAAATATTAATATTAAGGCATGGAAACTATCCCATATGTCCCAAAAATATTAAAAATAATCCCTAAGCCTGTATGCATTTGAATTGAGATATCCCATCATTTTCTGAAATTACACGTCCAATACACTAAGGATATGTTGGGATATCTTTATTATCGTGCATACATGCTCAGGAATTTTCTGAATATTTTTGGGATATGTGGGATAAATATGATATTTGGGATAGTTTCCACGCCTTGATCAAAAAAGAGGAGAAATATACAAGCTGGGGATGAATAATTTTGTAGGTGATTCACTCCTTATAGAGAGATTTGTGAATGTCGAAGATTCATAGTTTTGTGAGTAAACCATATTGGCTAGATCTACGAGGAGAGGACTTTGTCAGTCATCTTTAATATCAAAATAGATTCTCAAATAGAATTAGTACGAGACATTTTGATTTAATTTCTGAAAACCTGAAAAGGTTGAGAACTACTGATTTGGAATCTAAGAATCCAAATAATAATAAAAAGGAGAATAATAATAATAATAATAAGAATGACAAAGTATCAGCTTTAGTCACGACTTGAAGAAAAATAATTCAGACCAAATCGAAAGCTTGTTAAGAAATACATTGACATCATAAATATCAATTCTTATAATTTGGCAGCTGACAATTATAATTAAATCATAATTAACTACAAAAAGACTTGTCAAGGTTAATACTTTGTATCCAGACATGTTTTGATTGAGAGTGAGATTCGTACGCTATTAGAACCTGTTGTAAAAGTATTAAAACTAATTAAACGTGAGCTATTCTACCGAGACAATGTTGATAAAAATAGAATTGATTAGCACTTATGACAGAGGGGTTTATTTAAGGGCTGTTCACAAATGACGACTATCGAGATTTTCAGACCCCCTCCCATTGTCACAAAATTTGTATGAACCGTCGCAAAACTCTTAATATTGAACGTAATTTATGGAGAGCTCTATATCAACTAAGATACCGTTTCAAGAGTTGAGCCCCCCTTCAGTGGGGGTTGAGTTCTGAAGAAAAATAAACATTTTTTGAACTACTTAATAACTGAACATCCCCAGAACTTAATCGACACATCACACAGACACAATACAAAAAATATATCTCATCGCAATGACCAAGCATATGATGACTCTAAAAGAAGAAGAATTTGATATCCATGCAACTTAATCAGTATGAATATTTCTGTTTATATTTCATTTACGATAAAAAAAAATTACATTAAGCAAGAAAAATAGTATTATGACATAATTTCATGGCATTAATTTTCACATTTAATTTTTTTTTTTGCCACGAAGGAATGTTCCATTAATGTTGCTGGTATGGAAAATAAAAGAGAATAGGAGAAAAAATTATTGACATTTTCATAGCAATAGCAACATACACACCTCAAAATTCCTTTTTTTTGAATGTTTGCTTCTTTTTTCCATTAACCATAGAATAGAAAATAGACTTTTTTATTACCATAAACTGATGATTATTTATGTTTCCAATTCTATTGAATATTACTTCTTTTTTTATTAAAAAAAAACTTTTGTAATTCCAAATTTTTCTTTTGTACATGAAATCATTACCTTTAATTAACATTATTATGATATAGAACTCATGCGTTGTATAAAAGAATGTCCTATAATGTTTACCAATATTAATGCAGTTTGTAAGAATGAGTGATCCTTGAATGGCATTTTTTAGAAATTGTTCGAATATCCTCGCGATTTGTTGATGTTTTTTTATGATAAAAGTTCCTTAAAATTTTAATTCTCATTCACGAATTTTTATGGGAATTTAAAGATTTTGAGGAATTTTTATCTTGGAATGTTCTTGGGTTGTTAAGAGGTTAAGTCTAGTGTGAGTAGGGTTCTTGATTCAATTTCATACTGGTTTCACCTTTTTACAACTTAAGATGGAATAGTATTGTTGATGTAAAACTTCTATCGTGCACATTCTCATCTACTTAATCTCGTTAAACGACTAAGTAACGTTTTTGTGACTTAGAGTACATCTTAGGAGTGGATGAAGGTGTGTATGATGGGAATTTTACATAAACATGAGCATATTAAGTTGTGACATTTTGGATTCTTAAACTAGCACATTAATAGTATTACTTTTGGGATTAATCCTCGAGAAATCCGAACACGATATCTCAAAATTTTAAAAGAAGTTATTAAATAATAATTTGGCGCCAAAAATATTTTTCGGATATTAATCCCTTGAAATAGTCAAATCATATTTATGGGAAAAAAAAATTAAAAATATTTTAGCTGGCTAAGCGGGATTTCAGGGAAAGACAACCTCTTTTTGAAAATATTTCTTCAATTTTCTAAGGTTATTATTCAAATATTTTCAGTGATTAAACTTTCTCCTGTTCTTTTACTCAAATTTGAGAATTAGAGTTCTTTGAGAATATCCCGATCAATGTCAATGTTGAACTAGAGTTCATCAAAACTAAACAATTCAAAGTTTAAAAAAATTCCAGTTTGCAATAAAATTCCTATCCAACGAAAGAATCCATAATGTCACTAACCTATGCCATACTAAAGAGAATACTAAGAAATATTTCTACATATTCTTCCATTCTTTTAAGGAATTTCCATTGCAAATAAAAGAAAATGTTTATTTTGTTCATGGAAAATAAAATGAAAAATTGCATGTAAAATAATAAATTTTTCTAGTAAAACGAAAATTGAAACACTTTCTAATCATTAAAAAACAAGTGAAATAATTGTAAACAAGATAACACACACAAAAAAATTGTCTATTCGTGAAATTTCCATTAATTGGGAATGATAATCGTAATTTATTGATTAAATATTAATATTTAAAGAAGTTAAAAACATTGAAAGTGAAATGTAGAAATTACAAAATTGATGAGAAATCCACCCTTAATGCTGAAAAAAAGTAATTAAACAGTAAATTTAATGCACACATGGAAATTTTTTCTTTCTCTTCGTAATTTTACCTCTTTGGAATGATATATGACAAAAAAAAAACTCCTGCAAAATATTATGCAAATTTAATTAATTAAACAAAATGTTGTTCTGCACATGACTGTTTTTAATTATTACCTTTACTTAAATGAAAAAAAAAAATATTGAATAATATAAAGAATCCATAGCTGTGCGACATGAGATTGAGCGGGAAGTCATTTGGATAATGAGCGAATCTAAAATGGAAATTAATGAAGTTTGTTGAGAAGATTTTAAGCGAAATTCTCATTATTTTTAAAATATTAAAATTGGAGAAAACTCACCATTAAATTACCGAGTAGAAAATTAATTATACTAATAAACGTAGGTGGAATTACTAACCACTAAAAAGTGATGATACTCACCACTAGACTACCGAGGAAAATAAATTCATAATCAAGAATTTGAATGGAATTTATAAATTTAGCAAAATTATACAAGTGATCAATCTAAGGTTTTGTTTCTTGAGGTTTTGATTTAAATTTGAAAATTTCTTGATTTTTTTGAAGTTTTGATGGATCAATTCTTCAATCTAATCCACAAAGATCTTGATCTGAGCTTGATATTCTTTCTAATATCAAGCATGGATCTTGTTCTTCGTCGATTAAGGATAATCAAAACATCCAAGAATTGTTCAAAAATTCTTGAATATCAAGTCTGTTAAGGTTTGTTGTTTAGAAGGATAATCATTATTCAGTTGATCCAAGTAACTTAACTTTTAAGTTTGTTAATACGACTTTTAAAACTCCAGAAATAGAAATAAAAACTTTAAAATTTATGATCAGCATGATCATTGGTAATAAGGAAATAGTTTAACTTTACAATTGTAAACGTAAAGATATATTTGATTAAATAATTCAACTTATTCTTTAATATCTTGATTACACTTATCATAATGGTTATTGCATGACTTTAAGCCTGGCTTTTTCGTGATTCTAAGCTTGATATCCTTAAGAATTTAGTCTGGCTTGGATTTGTTCAGGTCTAATCAAGATTTAAACTTCGAAATAATCACAGTAAAGACATTTTAGAGGTCAAGCTCTGATGTAAAGCTTTATAACCCAAATAAAGGATGCAATACAAGCCCTTTAAAAATTAAAAAGAGTATATTACCAAGAAACAGAGCTAAAATTTCAAGAAACAAAACCCCTCATCGTGATATTGTAATCGGTAGGTAGACATTAAAGCTATACAAAATTGAAATGACTGAAAAAACATTGTCTGTGGTACAATGAAGTAGCAGATTTTAATCCAATTAAAGTCTAAATATTTCATAAATTATAACCAAAGTTCATTTTCCTAGAGTGGCAATTTTCACATTCTAAAAGTGTTAAAGGATTGGGATTGTCAACTAGGATATGACAAAATGACTCTAACAAAGCTGACTGCGATGGCTTTTATTTTTACTAAAATACAGGTTTTCCCAACAAACTTCATTCTTCTTTCCTATTTTTTAATCCAATTAATCAATATCCTTTCCCGTTCATTCTCGCTCGTAGCTCAGGAAAAGATAATTGTAGGATGCGAAAAAAAAAATTAAATAAATAAATTGGATCTGAAATTGAAATTACTTTTATATTATAGAAAATTAAAATAAAGCAACAAAAAATGAAGAAAAACCAACTGACATATAAAGTGAGATTTTATTTTAAAAAAATGGATAAAATAAAATAATCTAAATAAAAACGAAAAGAATAATCAGGTATGAATGGATATAAGCAAGAGAAATACTGATGATGATGATGTAATTTAACCTTTAATAAATAAAAAAACAATGATGATGAAATTTTTTGTCCCATTCGATAAATGATAATATGCTAATATTGTATAGAATTTAAATGGCATTTTTCTTATCATTTTTACAAATGAACACGATTTGATATGAAAAAATGAATTTTTTATAAAAACGAGACATAAAAAAAAATACAGTGAAGTCTACTTATCTTTAGTTTATAAGGCGAAATATAAAATAAAATAAAAAATTTAAAAAAATAGAAATGAGAAAATTGATTGAAATAATCAGTTTTTTTCTGTTCGGCGATAAGAGACGATTAAAAATGCATCTAATCAAATTTTCAAGGAAAAATCTAATCAGATGGATGGTGAGCTAGTTCTGTGTGCGTTATAAGAAGAAATGAAAAACTTTTACTGTTTAAGAAACATAAAAAAAAAGTGAACAGAAAAGTATTTTTTTATTTAATTTTAACTTCTTTTTCTACACACAAAGAAGAGTGAATTCCATTCGTGGCGTGTATTTTCTTTAATGGATTCTATGCTATTTATTTGACTTTTATTAGCTTCTAGTCTGTCTGCCACGATAACCAAGGAGTTGTCATGAATGAGCTAATTTTTTAAATCGACTGGGTTTAATGTTTTCAGTCATTCAATTTTTTTGAACACATAAAACAAAATTATAGAGATTATCGTCAGTTAAAGTCATACCAAACACCGTAAAAGATTGTGTTTAAGCAGCTAATTTGGACCTTGAATTACAAGTTAACTCTCATTCAAATAAATTGTAAAAATCGACGAAAATTCCATTTCTTAAAAGTTTTACGGCACTTAAGTTGAAGCACAATATTGTGCAACCTTAAAAGTTGATCTACCCCAGTGATTCTTAAACTGTGTGACGTAAAAATTATGAGAAATGAATTGTTTTATTGATTTTAAAAGAAATCTTCTCGAGTTTTCTAGTCTAAGATTAAACCAAGAATTGTCTCAAACCTAATGACCTAAAGACATTTTTTTATTACCATTGAGTTCAAACTTAACAGTTCCAGAACATAGTTTGCCTTCAGGTATTTAAAATAGGATCAAGTGTATCACGAATCAAAAAAACTTAAGAAACACTGATCTCCCTTAAGATTGTAGCATACCACACCCTTAAACATTCAGCCTATAAATATTTTTGCAACCATTTCCATTCATCGCACTTTAACTGATTACTTACTGAAATCCCAGCCCAGAACAAACAAGTCTTTAGCGAATCTACACAGATAAAATCTGTCTTACCTCTACGAATCAGTCCACTAATCATACAGAAAGTACTCCCCGAATGGGACTCACTCGAACAAATCATTTTAAATACTTGTTTAAATTTTATAAGAGATAAAAAAAAGTTTCTAGTTTAGCTTTCTTATTCTCGAATTTTTATCTTAAAGAAAAAACTGAAAGATGTAAAAGGAGAAAGCATGAAAAAATATAAAATATATAATATATATTGCAAATGCTTCTATCTTATTTTCCGTGTGAGGAAGAGGGAGATGATGACGACAATTTTTTCGATATAAGACATGTTTGGCGTCAATAATAAAACACAAAAAAAAATTAAATGAATATTAAAAAAAGAACTTTGTTGTGCCTTGTGCAATTTTAGATAATCCAAGAAACAAGTAGCAACACATAGACACGAAAAAAAAATATGTTGACGATTGTAAAAATCTCCCTCCTCTAATATTATAACATTGTATTTTTGTTCCATATCGATGCCTGCTTTTATTCTTCTTTTTAGCTGAATAATTTTTTATTTTTGTTTTATTACGAAACAAGAGAAAAAAAAAATCATAAAAGAGCCTCCATCAGACTTTTTACTTTAGCATAATAAATAATTTATCTTTATTTTTTACTTCTTGCTTATTAATTTATGAAAAAAAAGAAACAAAAAAAAATATTGATAGTGCTAATGAAGTAATTATACAATATACTATTGATAAATAAAAATGAATTAAAAAACAAAAAAGTTTCGTTTGTCTTTTGATTAGCATGGTTATTATCACCTTGTGTGGTATTACAGAATGTAACTTACTTCGTTGGCGGGGCAGATCGATTGTGATCCATGGTCTTCGGATGGCACCTGAAGCTGGATTTATCACTTGCCAATTTTCAAAACCAAACTGTCTCTATGACTCTGAACCATACGGACTGTTTCACTAAGGTGGATTATCCTCATTTTAGGATAATTAATTGGTAAATAATAATCAAGCTAGTTTGAGAAAAATCATTTTTCTTGTATAGTGAATATCGCGAATAATCGTATAGTGAATAATCGCTAATTTTAGTATAGGAGCCGTTCACTTATTACGTTACGCAAAAAAACGACTTTTTTCACCCCCCCTCCCCCCTTGTTACAATATGTTACAAATCACACCTCCCCCCCCCCCCCCCCCTAAACGTTCATAATTTATTTTATCATTAAAAAGGTGGAAGATTTAAAAAAATGTTTTTGGTGTGAATTTGTAAACAATTTTTTACAAATCATTCACCCCCCTCCCCCTCATATGCTAAATATGAAGTCATTTAGCATGAAGCACTATTTCTGAGCATTTTCAGTCTTCAGGCACTACGGAACTAGTCGGTTCCTCAAAAAAATTTTTTGTTTCAGGAGGTTATTCCTTGATGAAAATGGAACAAAAAATTTTTTTATGGATGTAACGGAACCAGGCAGTTCCAATGCCTTTGGATCCTCTGTGTTATTTTAAACAATTTGGAACACTTGGTTGCTGAAAATTGCTGAAAAAAAGTTTTTGAAGCATTGTAAGTGATCGGATCTTCATATGCAGCTACATCCAGTCATGAGTGATCATGTCCAGTTACGTGGAAATCCTTTTCTAAAGCCATAATGGCACAGTAAGTGAAAGAATCGCATAATGAACATTTTTCTGTGAAAGTTCTGAAAATCATTGCTTACTTTAACATTTATTGCAAACATTTGGAACCAAAAGATCCAGTAATAAAATGTACAGCAAATGCATGAACATTTTTGTCATCCAGTCATTTCCTCAAATCCATAAACTCTTATTCCTTCATTATCTTCCAAAAATTCTGAACAGAATTGCAACCAAAACATCCAAAATATGCAGCAAGTCATATCAGCAAGAATTATGGAATGATCCTTTCGAGAAATTCAGGCAAAAGTGGCAACTTTTAAAAAAATCGTTGAGAGTTTCAGAGATGAATTTTATATGAAAAGGAATTCAGGGAGTTTTTAAAACTCCAATTCAAAACTCCACTCAATTTTACAGATGAGTTTAAACTCAAATTCATTTTTCAACTCCTTTTGAAAATGAGTTTAAACTCAAATTCATTTTCCAACTCATTTTGAAAAATGAGTTTAAACTCAAACTCAAAAAAAAACTCATTTTGAAAAATGAGTTTAAACTCAAACTCAAAAAAAACTCATTTTCAAAAATGAGTTAAATTCAAATTCATTTTCAAACTCATTTTGCAACGGAATTTTAACTCAAATTCATTTCAAAATTCATTGGAAAATGAGTTTGAATTTGAGTTTTGAGTTAACTCCCCACCCTGAATATAATGGACCATAGGTAGACAAAAGATGTTGACATAAATTTGTGAAAAATAACGGTTGAATTTATTTTTGAATTTTTATACACAATTTTCAGCATTTTGATGCCCCCTGAGTATACAATGCTGGAAAATTTAAAATTTAAACGTTAAATCCTCAATGCTTTAAGCTTTCATCTACTTCAGAATGATTTCTTTAACATCCTTTAACAAACCTAAAATAGAACGAGGTAATATAAGTTAAATAAGTATAACAAAAATAAGACTCTTCACTCATAAAAATAACGGTCGAAAAATATTTACATATTTACACCAAAAAATCGTGCATTATAGCTTAATTACACAACTTATAAAATACTTAATTATATTAAACGATGTATGATTATATATCATAAGTCATACGACAAGAATAATAAGATTTGTTCAATAAAACCTGAAAAAATTAACGAGTACGTTCAGAAAGCGAAATTACAATTCTCTCACTAGCTTCATCTTGTTTAATTATTGTAGATTTGTCAAAAACAAAAATATTTCAAACTGATTTATTTCAAATTGAAATCGTGTATCTCAGAAAATGACAGTTAAATTTTTTTGAACGCGATTAAGTATGCTCAGATTTGCCTACATTTTAAGATTATTATGCCGAGTTATTTCATGTCTGTTTGACAATTTTCTGAACATAACATCACGCTCTCTCTCTCTCACTCTCTTTATTAGTGTGCAAAATTCAATCATTTGAAATCTAAAAGCTAAACGAGAAAGGACATTATAATCGATGCTGTAAAGTCCAAAAAGTGTTTTATTTGTGAAAAAGATCATAAATCATAGTGCTAAGAGGTGAATAAATTGTAATCTAGTTTAGTAATCAATTTAAAGTGAAAAAGAAGTAAAATTTAAAAAATTGCAATTTTTTATAAAAACAAAAAAATATTCAAGATTCTTAATTGAATGTGTTAATTAATGTGTGAATTCGTTTGTGCTCGATGATTTAAGTGACAGATTGTTGTATCAGATAGAGAATAGGAGATGTTATGCATTGGAATTTAGATTTATTTTTGGAATAGACACATAAAAATTAAAAAAATTATATATAAATTTACAAAGCATCCGGTGACTAATATTAGTTGGTTCTTCTCTTTCTCTCTCTCCGTGTGTCACATTAAGCTTGTTGCTTGCTTATTTTGTTTCATTCCAATATCTATATGAAATATTGGAATATTTCTTAAATGAGTAATATACTAAATTTATGAAATTTCAATTTAATAACAAGATCCAGTAACGTCTAGAGCACATCCATTTGTTATACAGCAATCTCATCAATTATTTCATAACATTGCCGAGCATACGAAATAAATCTATAGTGCCAAAAAAACATCACAGGTGTCTAATTAAAAGGCATTATTGTATCTTATTTAGATCGCACGCTTCAGCATCATTACACAGATTATATTAATGTGTTGGTAAAGAGATATATCCATATTCCGGAGAAAGAAAAAAAAAGGAAGAGGAATAAAAAGCTACAAGTTTAAAGCCATTCAGTACTGTGTATTTGTGTGTTATCAAAAAAACGTGCTACAATATATGAGAATAAGCATATAAAAAGAGAGAAAAGCTCACAAGCATAATCAATATCAAGAAAAAAGTTTTTACATAAGTTGAGCATTAATCATAATATTGAATATGGCTGAAGCGGGATCAGACGTATCAAATCCCACATCGAATTCTTATGTCATTCGTGGACAGATATTTGAAGTGGGTCCTCGATACACAAACCTGGCGCATATAGGCGAAGGAGCATATGGAGTTGTTGTGTAAGTAGACTTTTGCTGTTTTTATTATTGGTTCCGTTTGATGTTATGACTAGTGGTTTAAACCTGGATTTACTATTAATCATAAGATTTAAAGCCAGATTAAAATAAATCCCTGGATTAACATTAAATCCTATTGATTAACAAGCTTAATCCTTGTTTTCAAATTAGTTCCAGTTCCAAAAACTCCTGTCATCAACATCATACATCATGTATAACTGCATATATTCATTTATATGATGTCGATATTTATCCTATTGAATTGAGACTGCTGGCTCATATATCAAACACATCATGATTTTAATAAGCGTAAAGAGGAATAATGACTATTATAATTTCTTTGTACTTACTGATTGATATGGTAAACATATTACCCACAGGATTTTAATTTTTTTTTTTTCGATTTATTGAAATTCGATGATTGAGAATGGAATTGGATTATAATTAAGTGACACTTGTATTAATTGTTGCTTAAGAATGATATGGAAACTATTAGCAACATATTGAAAAGAGCTTAATATTTATGTAGAATTTTCTAGTTCATGTCATCAAATGAAAAAAAAATATTTATTCAATTTAGAAAGTTCATAAAATATGAATGGACTAAGCCTTCAATTTATAGATTTGTCCATTTGATTGAATTCATTTAGTTCTTGAAAATATGTCTGTGTTAATCTCCATGTATTGATTTTTATCATTCAATCGAATTCTATCATGCCAATCAATTGCAAGAAAACATTGCAAAATTGAATGAATTACGCATTATTTTGAATTGACAGTCTTCATGTGAACTTGAAATGGAGAATCAAAAATTTATGAAAGCAAACAAATTCGCATTAGTCTGATCATATGAAGTTGATGTATCTTCGGGATGTTTTGTTAAATTTTCGATGTCTAACAAGTGAAATAGAACGAATGTCACTGTCAAAAATGTTTGCAAATTAATTTGGATATGCTTAATTAATAAACGCTCAGCATTTCATTTATTTATTGAAAAATAATTAATATTTGGTCATTCCATTTAATGGAATGTGTTAATAACCTGCAGGATTTTTATCTAGCCACATAAAGCACAACTACTATTTATATCATTGCAAAATAGCGATTTTGCGAATTTTGCGATTTTGCGAATTTTTTGACAAACTCCAAATAGAAATGTTTTAATTAACATACAAAATTACCGCAGTATTCCCAAAATTCTCAAAGCTTTTTCAATCATAATTGTGGGCTGCATTCAAAAATATTCATTATTTAATTTTTTGAACTGTTTATTGACTTAAAACAGAGATGAGAAAAGTCGATTTTGTGTCAGAATACTTTCAAATTTCTTTCTTAAATCATGAATATACATTGAGAGCTGCGACCTCTTTGGTTGTCATTCACAAGTGACGAACGGTAACAGAGCGTCAGATCAGCCTTATATAATTTTCAATTCTCCTCAATCCATCCTTATTTTATGGTTCATCAAGTCAAATATCCTTTTTTGAACGGCATTAATATTTTAATGAATCCTTAAGCAGATTTTAAATTATAAATGTTTCCTCTTTTCTTAGAATTCTCAAAAAGGAGGCCTTTATTGTGAAACATTTGGAAATTTGTGTTGATTTCTCAATTATTCATTTAATTTCTGAATTCATCTCACTTTTCTGTTTTGTAATCTTTTTCTTCTTTTTGTTGTTTCTGAAGTGGGGGAAAAAGAATAGATGAGAAAATATTAAGATGCACGTGATAATTTTGCTTTATTATAGATACGGATATCGATAATTAGTGTCTATAGGTTGAGTCTACTCAAAAATACCCAATCTCGGAAAATTGCTTTGCTTAAAAAGAGAGTAAATTAATGAAAAGATTATGCAACTTTCAATTAAGAATCTTAAAATTAAGGGTGCTTTTATTCATAGATTGCAGTAATTTTTATTGGGGATTTGCTTAACAACAAACACTTCAATTGCTACTGTTTTCATGAACATAATTGCCATTTAAGTGATGCCTTGGTTCTTGTAGTTAATTAGATATAGTAAGAGCTTTCTTAAGTCTCTGTGAAGTATCTCAGGTTGAAATTCCTACCCCGACTTTAAAATCGTTACAGAATAAGCAAACGTCCCAATAAGTAATTCTCACATTTGACATCATTGAAAATAAATTGTTTTCTGTACTTTCAGAACATCCAAAGCTACATGAACCTATTTTCGTATTGTTTGCTTAGCTGAAATGTATTTTGAATTTTTATTGATTCAATATCTGATGATGTCAAATAAAGAAGAAGTTCTCATTCTGTTTTCCTTGATTATTCTATTCTCTTGTGTGTACAATTATGTCAGTGCTTCTCAAACTTTTCTTTGAGATCTAATCCGTACCAAAAAGTCAAATACAATTTACCATAACATCCATTTCTTAAACCTTAGCTCTGATCTCGAAACCTATGAAACATTAGCGTGACACACAGCTTATCAACCCCTGAATTATACTTCCATTCACATATTCGAAGCTTTTCAATTTTGATTAAATCGGAATGTTAAGGATTCCAATTTTAAATTAAATTCTGCAATCAACAAGTGTCTTTACATTCATGTATATGCTTACAGGGATTATTTATCAATCATTTGACATCAATTGAAAATTAATAAGCATTGCTTACAAATTTACGTAAACAACTGTCTATCATTAAGTAAATACAACAATTATATCCGTGCACATGTGTCTGTAAAATTAAATTGATAAGATAAAGTATGGTTGCACATTGCTATCTTGGCAAAAATAAAAGTAATAAAATAATCGTTATATGGAGTGAATTCGTAGACTTTTACTCCAACACAAAGCAGAATTACTCAAAATTTCTATATTCGTCATGAAGTAAAATAGCTTTTGCTAAATAAATACAGAATTAGCAGTAAATCCGTTTAAATGCTGTCATTTTACTGCTGACGTTGATAATAGAAAGACTTAAGACTGATTCTTTTCACGAGAATACTTTTACTTGTTTTAAAAGTGATTATGAGAATGTGAGAATGGTTAAAAAATTTAATGAAATTGACTCGGTCGAGCATGAACTTTTTGAGTGTCCGGCTCACATTAATAAAGGTCCAAAAGTTGAGAAGAATCAACTCAAATCCAATTAAAAGTTAGCAACAAAAATCATCTGACCGAATATCCATTACGTAATAGAATTGATTGAAAAGGAAAGCATGTAACAGTCCTTAGCAACAAGAGTGTCTAAAAATTGTTAAGGTTTATTTATTTGTATGACAAAAATCCTTCTTAGAAACCTTTCCTTTGGTGATTTTCAACTACATCCGGCACATCCCTTAAATACGCTTCTAAACGGACCATTCAAACAATTCCAAATATTTGTATTCAATCGTTCCAAACTCTAGAGAGCATTTTCCAGTTTATTCTCTAAATTAAAACAGCCTATCAACTGCATACCTTCGTAGAATAAATTGATACTGAATTAAAGCGATGAGAGGTATTTTTAATCATTCATTCATTAACATTCCCAACTAGATTTGATCGGTTTACTTTGCTCCAATCATGGAGTGTGGGACGATTATTTGAAAATAATCTGTGCTGAATTTTCCACCTCATTTAATGTTATTGCTAAGCTTTCATCAAAATTCCATTCTAAAATTTGAAATGAAAAGTTTCAAAAACAGAATTTTGAGCAGTACTTGGAAGTTGTTTGGATATTTTGCACGGATCTCTTCTGTCACAAAATTATATTCTGTCTATTATTTGAGAATAAAAGCAACATTTCATAGAATTATTAAAGGGCTTTAAAATTTAATCCACGAGCAATGATTTTTTTTTTTAACTCTCAAGGCTTATAAAATTATATTCTCGTGGCTTATTTTATCTACCAGAATCATCAATAATTTGCTTAATAGATTCATAATGCTGAAGTCATCAGCTTTGAATGAAATCACTTCTGATAAAGGATTAAAAAAAGATTTTAATTTCCACTTGAAATTATTCACATTTTTTTCTGTATAAATAGATTCTTCTCTTATAATTTATTGAACTGTAAACAGAGTATGGGCCTTGACAATTTATCCATGATGACTTTCGCGTTTACACGTTTCTCCAAAGTGATCGCTGGAAGAAGAAAGAGAGCACGTTCAAATTAAAATAACATTGAAAGTAAAAATGTCAAGTTACGAAATGTTTATTGGTTTTTATGTGATTTTTGACGCATTACTCTCGAATGTTTCTATTGTCTCCTATTTTTGGGGTAAGCGAACTGTCATTAATGCAAATGACAGACATTTAACTGCCTTTCTAATTAGTACTGAAATTCAAACTTGCATAGAAATGTTACTTGATTAAAACAGTCCCCTGATTTCAGACCCCTTTAAAATCGATACATGCCTCTTACATTTTACACAAGAAAAAAAAATATATTTCTGGTATTTCAATTTAAAGCGTGTTCGCAAAAAATAGCGCCCTTAAATCCGCTTCAAGACACCAAACCAACAAATGAACCTAGAAATCTTAATTTTGGAAAGATGGCATAAAGATATAACCTCAAAAGTGTGCCATCGACAAAAGAATTTGTTGAATTTTTATATAAATTGTATAAAACAATAACCAATCTACAAGGCAGCATCATTATCTGTCAGTCCGCAGGCCGTACACTCACTCAGTCTTTCACACTCTCAGCTACCCACAGCATCGACAATTTTCCTGCTCTTCAAGCAGCTCAAAGTAGGCACGAGTAAAACGAACAAAGTGAAAAAGAAATAAGCAATTCTTCATGAATCGCGTGTCAAAAATCGAACTTCATTTTTCCTCGCAATAATTTTTCATGCATGCTTTTCATTTGTTCTTATTGAAAAGAAAATATTTACGTGGAATAATCATTTATGCGTACACATGTAGATGTATGTACATTAATGAAAAATTATTATTCTAACCGATAAAATGAAAAACGAGTGAAAAAGAAACTTTAATAATCTTCACGTAAACCTTTCTGACATCCTTCACTTGCTCATGATCCAATGAATAAA